CAAGAAAAGCCAGTATAACTAAGGAAGGCTACACACACATGGTGCATGATGAGATAATTACTAAGGAGTTCAAGGCTAGAGTGAAAATCCAAGTGTGGGTGGCACTATTTACTTTGATATTTTGTATATCTCATCAAAACCTTACTCTAGCCACATGGCTAAGGCACTCTAGTGGTGGAAAGTTGAAAATGTACCTATAAGACTCATGTTGGAGTGTTTCAAAATGTCATTCTAAAGGAAGAGGAGTGGTCTTTTTGCTTAGTGACCACGTGGTAAAGAAGTCCCAGAGGTTAGTAGGATTTAGTGGATGGGCCTTCAAGCCCTAGACTAGTGGTGGTGTTGATGAGCATTGCTATAGACAGAGAGAGATTTAGTGGGGATCAAACAAGTGATATTAAGGAATGGTGTTCCCCACTTCTAAGGGCATCATAAGGATGCTAATGGGTGGTCATAAGATGACCATTCATAGATGGATTGTTGTAATGCATATAATTATGGGATGAGATTTAGATATATTATCAGCGTGAATCTTTACAATATTGGGGGATAAATGGGGATAAAATAGCTACTAAAGGCTTTTTTATTAAGCAATTGCCCCTTTTTTCATTTGGCTTAAAAAAAGAGAAATAGGGTGCACTACAATGGCATAGTCTTTGGGAGATATAATTATGGTATAGGTCATCTTAAATTATTAATGAGACTAGTGTGAATGGACATGGCCTTACCATAATAGGCTAGTATGTCGATGGTACATTTGGGTGTTTATAGTGGGATTGGATACGTGGAGCACTTAGACCAAATGGTTCCATTGCACTCTTCCCCCTATTATCTCATGTTGGTCCTTTAATATTCGCTAAATGATAGTTTATTGTGTTTGCCAAGACATTTTCACTATCATACGTTATGTGTTAGTCTTGTTTAGTATTAACTATTTATGAAAAGTGACTATGTTTGCTAGTTAGACATATTTACAAAATATAAAGATTATCATAAACACAATGGTGTTATTCCCACATTTAGATATGCAATCTAGGGCCATTCTATATTTAGTAAATTCTCGTGATTATCCCAGAAATTAACTCTTGGGACTGGGATGAAAGCCCAAAACTTATGATCCACAAGAGGGGGGGGTGCAGCTATAGGCAACCCCCTATAGCCAGTTTAAAATAGTAGATAAGGATAGTAAATAAATAAGGCATGGTCGATCAATTTGAGGTATAATTTAACTTTTACTTATGTATCTATCTTTGTTCTATATCTGGCTTGGGTCTAAACCCAATTCCATACCATACTAGATTATAAAGTATTTATATCCTCATGTTAAACCATTAGTATGCTAAAATAATGTTAAATTCTCATTTGGCTCTATTTTGTGTGTTAGTCTTGACATTGGGATATTGGATGCTCTAAGAATGTTCTAATGCCACTTCATGCTCTTATCCCTTCGCTCATTAGGATATACATTTGGGAGTTGTCTTATGCTTTAATTCTTTTGCTCTTTGGTTGCATATTTGAGAGTTTAGCTTTGTTGTTTTGTATAGTGGCCCAAGGCCATAAAACTTAAGTTTCACTCCATTGCCCTTGGCTTATGTGACCAAGGGTTATGATTCCACTCTATGGTTTTTCTATAATAAATCACTATAGGGTAAATGGTGAAAATTATATATGCTACAAATATAAGAAAATCCTAAAGGTTAATGGGATTTAGTGGTTTTAGGCTTTGACCCAATGGCAGTATTGGCAAACATTGTCATAGATAGAATGGGATTTGGTAGGGACTAAAGGAAGGATATTAGGCAATGGTGTTCTCTATATTTTAGAGCATCCTAAAAATGCTAAAGTGTAATTATAAGGTAATCATTTATGGATGGATGGCCTAGTCTTTAGAAGACGAGATTATGGTACAAATGGTTTCAAACTATTAATAAAAAATATCCTATAAATAAACCAAAAAAAAAACAATTCAAGAGATGGTTTATAAAGGTTCAAATATAAAGGAAAAAAGCCCATGAACAAGAGTGTTTTTTCAATCAAATAAGGGTTTTTGGATATTTGAGGTTAAATAACCTTAGGTTTGAATAATATTAAGCTAGGTGACTTCCTAGGAAGTCTAAATTCAAGAGCTTACACGTGCGAATAAATATAGTGTTAATGTAATAAGCTGATATGTGAAGGATACCCTTGGGCATCTATAGTGGAACTAAACATTTGGAGCACTTCCACCAAATGCAAGATGGTATGGCAAATCCCTAAGTCAGGATTAGGATGTAAAGAGGTTGTAAGTAAGATTTTTTTAAGTGGTCAAAGATATGGTTAAGTGACTAAAGTAAAATGGAAAAATTAGTCATTTACAAATACATCACTAACAAGTGTATTATTATGTCCAAGACTTAATATAATTTAACACTATAGACTAGTGGAGCACTTCCACCAAATGCAAAAATGGTATGGCAAATCCTTAAGTTGGGATAAGGATGTATAGAGTGTAAGCTCTTAAATTTGGACTTCCAACCTAATACTATTCAAACCCAAGGACGTTTAACTTCAACTATCCCAAGACCCTTAACCGATTGGAAAAGGGGGTGCACTCTTATTCATGGGCCCTTTCCCTTTATATTTGAACCCCATGGACCGTCTCTCGAGTCGTTTTCTTTAGTTGCTTATATAGAGGTTGTGAGTAAAATTCTTTTAAATGGTCAAAGATATAGTTAAGTGACTAAAGTAAAATGGAAAAATTAGTCACTTATAAATACATCACTAAAGAGTGCATTATTATATCTAAGACTTAATATAATCTAACACTATAGACTAAATGCAACCAAACAATATTTATAGATGGCAATATAGAAAATCAAGCAAGGCACAATACAATCAATGAGATCACATTTAATTGTAAATCATCTCTCAGAGGAGAAAAAATGATTTATTGATCACATATACTATATATAGCTAATAGAGTTGTTTACATAGTAATGCCCTTTTTAATGAAAAATAAGGAGAGAGGGGGGAGAAAGAGAGAGGTTATGTGATTAGTTTATAATAGTTACTCTATGATAAAAACCATATAGACAAAGTATTGAAATCAGTTTATCTATATAATATAAAGTTTGGGCTTAAACCCAAGTTAAATGTAAAATAAAAAACAATACACTCATTAGAGAGCCAAACAATGTCTCAAATGGTTAACCATACTTTTATCTTACCCTTTATCTCTATTATACACCAAAATTGGTAAATGCCCTATTAAAAGCTAACTTTAGGTTCTTTGGGATAAGTTTGAAAGCTTATTAAATATGAAATAATTTTAGATTATGAATTTAGATTATTCAAGACTCTTTACATAAGCCTAACTAGTAGATATATACCCTTTACATAAATAAGTAATAAGACCAAAATGGAATTAACACATAAAAATGATAGTAAAGACATGTTAATCTATTAAGGGACTAATTCTCAATCCATAAAGGTTCTTGCCAAGCTAGTATAAGTTAAAGCAAAAGAGAATTATTCTTAGATAAATAAACACTTAGGAATTTCTTCTTTATCCTCGTAAAAAATAATTTGCACAAGTTTAAAATAAAAAAGAGAAAGCTTAATTTCTGGATGTGATAAAGCACCAATACTATCCCATGATTTTTGTTCCATAACTACATGTAGAGGACACATAGATGGCTTCCATGACACCAAGACACTCATCGTGCTGTGCTTAACCCACATAAAGATAATTGACCTTCCGTAAAAATCAAGAACCTAGAAAAGCTAAATCTCTTCTAATTAAGGTAAAATAACTAACATTTTTCTTTTTACTTGTATTGTTGAGACAGACAATATCCTTTATGCCCTAACTATGCAAATTTAGTTGTAATGGCTTTTCAAGCTCAATTGTGAGCTTCTCAACGATGTAGCAGTTCTAAAATGGGCATAAACATTGGAGTCCATATTGTGTCAAAGCCCTTACTATGCTCAGATCTTGATTGCCCTTGCTCATCATGTCATTCCCAAGCCAATCCTCTCCCTCAGTCCTAGCTCCTGCCACCCCCTTTTCTTGCCTCTGCTGTTGCCTCCCAAGAAGCTCCATCACCCATAAACTCATTCTTCCTGCCACGGATTCACTTGTGTCCATGTCATTGTCTCACCTCACTTTGTTCTATGGGCTTATTATTGACTGCTACAGCTGTAGTGGTTCTCCCCTGGATAAATTAGAGACGCTTCCATGCATTTCCCTTTTGCAGAGGGGGCCCAAAAATTATATACCACTTTACTGTGGTCCATCCTCGTGCCAAAACTAAGGTCCCAATTCATGCTGGACAAGAAGGGCACCATAGCCCAAAATGTCCCCAACACCTAGGGTGGATCACCAAGATCCCTATCACTAGCCTCCTTGGCCTCTTAGCCCCTGGCTAGATGTGGGGTGGCTCCAACCTTTGGATGCACATCCCCAGCACCTGGGGTGGATCACCAAGAGCCCCCATCACTGGCCTCCTTGGCTCAAGTCATTCCTCAGCCCTTGGCTGAATGTACTTTTGGATGCCATACCCTGTGACCAAACCTCCTTAGGTCACATTGGCTGTCCTAGCCAGGAAAGTCCTTTTGGCGATGTGAGAGATAGAAAAACAAAATTCAATTATACCAAAATTGAAAATAACAACAAAGAATTCATACAGACTCCAACTTGCCTAAGGTACCTCTCATCTCCACCATAAAATGGGCATAAGCCCGAGCAAGGCTTATTGGAGTCCACACCATGTCGTCATGTTGTTCCCAAGCCAATCCTCTCCCTCAGCCACCCCCCTTTCTTGCCCCTACTACTGCCTTCCAAGAAGTTCCATCGCCCACAAACCCATTCTTCCTGCCACATCAGATTCACCTGTGTACAACGAAGAACCCTAACGTAGGCCACATCAGACGCGTTGACAAACACATATCTGAAGAATATTCGTGAGGGCCCCTTTCCCTTTTAGTTGGCACTAAAACCTAGCCCTAAAACCCTTCTAGCTAGCTCGTGAAAGAATGAAGGCGCATTTTCCAGAGTGTGCGCTCTCTGTGGACTCGCTTCTTCCTTTCCAGGATATGGAGGCGCAGATCATGTAAGTCCTGAGCGAGCGCTTGATCGATCGATCGCCAGAAAGAAATTTCTTCGTTTGATCTTGTCTTGCCGCCCAGAAATGTGTGCCGGGCCTTGATCCCGGAGCTTCAAGACGCCGATGATTCAGATTTTGACGTTTGCCGGATCAATGGAGGGATCACAAACATTAGTGAGTTGGAGAATTGCAAGTTCCATCTCTCTTTTTTTTTTTGCTTTTATGCAACGGGCGTGTTCTTTCGTTTGCAGTGGCTAAAGTTTCCAAGAAGGATCAATCTGTTGTTGTCCGCGTGTTTGGTCCTGCCACCGAGGGTGTGATCGATCGGGATCGAGAAATCCAGGTTAGCATTGGGAGTAATCTTTGAGTAATTCCTTGATCTCAACTTCTTTTTCTTCGCAGGCAACCTGTCATTTTTCGCGAGCTGGGTTTTGTCCAGAGCTCAAAGGCGTCTTTAAAAACGGGATCATTCAAACGTTTGTCACGGCAAGGACGCTCACACCTGAAGGTTTTTTTTCTTCGTAAAGCTACTCTTTATTCTTTTGTTCATTTGAATTAGTTTGCCTAAGCTGGCAGATTTTCTGGACGATGCAGTCGTTGCAAAAGTTGCAAAAGAACTTCGACGCCTTCATCAGCAAGAAGTTCCGGGCGAGAAGGAACCCATGGTCTGGACCGAGATTAACAGATACTTTGAGCTCGGTATGGCAACTTCTTGGGTTTCTTTCATATTTTTTTCGGTTGTTTGTGTAACAATGCTAGTGCTGCTGCTCCAGCGTCTGCTGTTACCAAGTTTGAGAATCCAGAAAATCAAAGGAAACTGGAGGCGGTGTCATTTGACGAGCTAAGGCAAGAGATCAATACATTGAAGGTTTGCGTTCCCAAAGCGATAGTAGTCAAGCCTACATTGGTTGATCTTTGCAGGAAATCGGCGCTCGCTTGAAGGGACCTGTCGTCTACGCACACAACGATTTGCTTCCCGGCAATGTCATGGTTGATGCGCAAGGTGATAAATGTGTTTGAAGTGGAGGTTTTCAATATTTTTATACAGGGAAGTACTATTTTATCGACTTCGAGTACAGTGGATATAACTATCGTGGATTTGACATTGGAACTCACTTCAACGAGTATGCCGGACTCGATTGCGACTTTTGCGCGTAATCCACAGGCATTTTGGATCTTATTTGCGTTCTTATCCAAGCAATGCTCTTGTTTTGCAGCTATCCAAGCAAAGACCGGCAGCTAAACTTCTTGAGGCACTATTTGCGACCAGATGATCCTGAGAAGGTATTTTCTTATGATCTCGTCAATGTGGAAACGCTCGTGAATTAACAGGCGACACATGAAGAACTGGAAGAGCTGTTTGTTGAGGCAAATTTCTACGCGCTTCCCGCTCATATTACATGGTCGGCTTGGGCAATTGTCCAGGTAAAAAGCTTTGGATATTTTTTTTATAGCGCTTTGAAATAACCCTGGCTTGCAGGCAACATCTTCAGCAGCAATCGACTTTGACTACATGTCATACTTTTTCAAGCGGATGAAGATGTATAGAGAGCAAAAGGCGAAGTTTTTGCCGGTGGTGAGAGGCTTCCTCGCTGGTAAAAGCAAGTAGCATATGGTTTGGATCTTGATCTCGTGCATGGGAACATAAGCTCTCGTTTTTAAGCTTGGCTGACAGCTACTTCTGGAATGAGTGGAAACTTATCCCTTCGTACACCTCTGTGCAAATTGATCAGCACAAATTTAGAGACAACTCGGAAACATGCTGCGACATTATTCACCACGAACTCGTACGTCGATGGCTTTCAAGTTGACACCGCAACACACATTCTGCTGTGTTGTCCCACATGAAAGAATTGACCATCTTGACATTCTTGGACCAAAATCGAAGCATCACGATCAGGAAAGCTACAATCTCACCACTTCCACCATCAAATGCCTCTTAGAATGAGAAATCAAAAGCACAGCACCCAAAAGGAACAGTAAAAGCAACGACAAATTCTCATAAACCGTATAGCTTTTGACCAATGCGTTCTTGTCTAAATTCGTTTTGTTATTTACAATTTGGATTTTTACTCTCAATTATAGAATTTCAATCTTCAAAGTGAATGACAGGATCTTCATCCCATCAAACCACATTTGTTGTTGGTTTGGTTGTGTTTCTCCTGGTAAACGAAAATGGCAGCGCTGGCTCACCTTTGCATGCACAGCGCTGCCTTCCAGGTGGACAGGGGCGGCGTGGAGACGCACTGCCACGTGTAGAACATGTTCTTGACACGCTGGCCGATTACCTCGCACGCTGGCACCGCTGCCTCAATCTCGCGAATCTCCTGCCGCGTCAGCTCCATTCCCACCGCCACCATGTTCTCCTCCAGGTGCCCAAACCTGGTGGTCCCAGGGATGGGGACCACGTCATCGCCCTGACTGTGCAGCCACGCCAGCGCCAGCTGGCCCGGCGCACACTTTATTCTCCGCGAGATGCTGTGGACTCGATCGAACAGCACCTTGTTTCGTGCCAAGTTCTCGGGAAAGAATCTGGGGATGGCAACCTGTTTGATCAAAGAGAAAGAATCACTCCACGGTTCTTCCACTCCAGGTACAGAGCTTGACTGCAAACAAACCTTGCGGAAATCGTTGGGGACGAGATCCTCCGTCACTGCTTTCCCCGAGAAGAATCCCCGCCCCAGCGGGCCATAAGCGACGATCCCGATCCCGAGCTCTCTGAAAGAGACAAAGTTTGTGAGTGAGAAAGAGAGAGAGAGAGATGAGTGAGACAATCGCCGACAGTATATCTATGGCGAGCAATGACACAGACGTGAGGTCTGTGTGCCATCGCCGTGTGTGTTTCTACGGTGAGATCAGAGAGTTCTTCAAGCCAAATACCTGCAAGTCGGGATGATCTCGTCCTCCACGTCTCGTACCCAAAGAGACCACTCGATCTGGACGGCAGTGATGGGATGGACTGCGTGCGCTCGCCGGATTGTCGATGCCGAAGCTTCTGAGAGGCCTATGTACTTCACCTTGCCTTCCTCTACGAGTTTTTTCATCTCTCCCACCTGAGAGGCAAGAATTCGACGTGAAGAAAATCATAGTAGACTATAGGAAGACCGAAGCAAATCATAGCTCATAGACTATAGCAAGAAATATAAAGGTGAAAGTTCTACGAGGAACAAAGTTAAAACTAAGGACAAACGACCAAAGGACTGACAAACAAGGACGAAATGGAGAGAGCAAAGAAAGAAAAGGTTGTGAGAAAGAGAACTTACCGTGACCTCGATCGGGACGTTTGGATCCACCCGGTACTGGTAGTAGAGATCAATGTAGTCTACATTGAGCCTCCGCAAGCTCGCCTCACAGGCAGCTCTCACATACTTTGGATCGCCGCGGATCGTCGCGGTCTTGCTCTTGTCCAGGCCAGCCACCGCGAATTTCGTGGCGATCTGGACCCTGTCGCGGATCCCTCGGATTGCCTGGAAGAGAATCGATGAGTTCTTGGGGGAAACATGCGAGAGCGGGGTGTGTTCTTGGAAGGAAAACCTCGAAATTTCCAGAGGCATGCGAGAAATCTCACCTTGCCGACGAGGATTTCGTTGGCGAAGGGGCCGTAGCAGTCGGCGGTGTCGAGGAAGGTGATCCCCGACTCCACGGCACGGCGGATGAGCTCGATGGATCGCTCCTCGGGCGGGCTGGCGTGGTAAGCGCCGGACAAGCTCGCGCATCCCAGGCCCTGCTTGGACACCTCGAATCCCTGCGACCCCAGCTTCACTCTAGGGACATGGGGCAAGTTTAAATCCCAGCATCCCATGGCTAGAGCAGCCCCAAAACCCTGATCGAATCCGCGAATTCACCACCAGTAGGCCGAGCAGATCCACATGAGATTGGCGAGCAAGGAGCGAATTGACGCGGGGCGGGGCATTGGACTGGAGCGAGCGAGCGAGCGGCGGAGTGATCCAAGAAGAATTCCTTTGTGGCGCTTTCCCGACCTAGGTAGAGCAAATGCTGGACAAGGGCGAGAATGCCGCAGCGGTGGATCGCTTCGTGGATCACGCTAGAAACTTCGATTCAAAGCGCGAGGATGCAAATCAAACTCCTACTGCTCCCACGCCACCAGATTTGGGGGAAGAGAGAGAAATAGAAAAGAGAAGAGAAGAGGAGAGATTTAGATTCCAGCCAGCATTATTGACAAAAATTCCCTCTCTTTGTTGTTCGTTGGCACACCTCCTCCTCTTTCCCTTGTAAACAATTTTATCACTACTGGCACAGAGGAGGAGCTAGAATTTGGGGAATCTTCCCGGGCGAGCTTGGACAGAGGCATCACGCTATAAACACTGGGAAATTCCTAGTCTTTTTACTCCAATTTTCCGGAGAGTTACTTTTGTTTTTGCTTCTTCTAAGAACAGCACCACCAACCAGTTTAGCCAATGGAGAACTCGCAAAAAGCTTCACCCAAAGTCAAACGAATCTTTGCTGGTCTAGTTTGGTTTCACACGGGGCAAAGAAAAAAAAAAAATTAAAGGTCCACCAAGGTGGTGGAGTGAATCCAGATTTGTCAAGCGTTTAATCTGTGAGTCTCCATGGTTTCTACGCAGCAAAAGGTGGTGAAGTTTGTGTGTTGTTCCACGAGAATCTCAAAACCATGGGAACTTGGCGAGCGATTCTCGGTGGGTTTTTTTCTCAACGTACAAGCCTTGCAAAGCTTGCCGGCTACGAATTTAATCACGCGCAGCTTTGCTGGTCTAATAGACATTAGCGACATAGTTAGAAAACATGACAAGCAAAGATCATACCTCTTTCCTCGCTTTTGTCTTGCGATATCAAACGTTTACTTTCGTGCCACCAGTAGAAGCTTCTTCCACTGTTCCTGTTCCACCCTGCCTGGACGGAATGGACTGATTAGAAAACATCCTGTAGAAATTTCTCGCTACGTCTGCGTGCCGCAATCCGCAACAGTTGAGTCTCACAACTTCCATGAAGCAGCTCCGCGGATCTCTTTCCTTTCCGCGTGCTTCTGCATAAGCTTTGTACAAAGCACGAATGGAACCTTCCTTCGTGCAGTCTTTGAATACACAAAATGGCTCTTAAAGTTCTCGTCACTGCCTGGAAGACGAGTTTTAAAGTTTTCGCATAAGTTTGAGACTCTCCCAAATCTTGTACCTGGAGTTCGTGTGGTTCAAAGCTCGCGGTCGCGTGTTTCCAGTCAACATATCTCGTGAATAGTGACATCTTTCCTCCTCTCCAAAGAGTCGTTGATCAGTTGCCAACATTTCCACGCTGGGCAGCGACATTAATAAGTAGCCTCGACCCTGTGTCAGCTTCTTCTTCTTCTAGAAGATTGAAATCTGGGAAAGAGAAAATCAAAAGGAGAGAGAAAAGAAAATAAAAAGCAGGAAAACGATTCCCCGAGACGCAAAACATCTTCTAGAAACATCACTGTACACTTAAGTGGGGTCTCTGTATGCTTCCTATCAGAGCACAGCAAAACACTTATTAGATATTCTTCCACCCCCAACTCTCCTTTCCAACCAGAGAAAATGAAATACGTACCTCAGCCGTAGTTTAAACAAAAGGGAGTGTACATTCTCTTGTTGCCAATGCCACCTAACCGTCCAATGAGAAAAAAATTCAAGAAATAAAAGACAGATCACATACTTTCTGTGTACAATGATCTGTCCCTCTTTGTCCATATGATGTGCTTCGATTGTGGCCACAGCATAAGGCTCTACACTTGTCATGCCTATCGCAAAAAACGATTTCTATAGAAACAAAAGAATTAAAACTAACCAGCGAGACCAGCGGAAATTTACGTAGAATGACGTCGAGACCACGTCGGTTCCGTTGTCACGGAAACGGGATTCACTAACTGGTCGTTAGCGGTTCCAGCGGTTACTTGCGGTTGAAATCTATAGCCCGTGTCCGTTGTTTACAGGTTACTTCGTCCATCGCCACAACCTTAAATTCCACACCGTTAATTGAGTGAGAAGTCTCTTACGAGCTCCGAGACACCAGAGTTACCTCCTTACGAAGAGAGACCAGCTCATACATTCTTCCAAGTTCGAGTTCCCGAGCCAGTACGTAAAGATGAGAGAGTGCATTTCAATCCACATCGGGCAAGCTGGAATCCAAGTCGGGAACGCGTGTTGGGAGCTCTATTGCCTGGAGCATGGAATTCAGGTGTGTGAGTCTCGCTCGAAAGTGACGGTGACTTGAACTTTTCTCACCTCTGACCGTGTGCTTGTTGCGTGTGCGCCGCAGCCGGACGGGCAGATGCCGAGTGACAAGACCATAGGTGGCGGAGACGATGCGTTCAACACCTTCTTCAGCGAGACTGGCGCGGGGAAACATGTTCCTCGCTGCGTCTTTCTGGACCTGGAGCCAACGGTGATTGACGAGGTGCGGACCGGAACTTATCGCCAGCTCTTCCACCCCGAGCAGCTCATCAGCGGGAAGGAAGACGCTGCAAACAATTTCGCGAGGGGCCACTACACAGGTAGCGTACAGAAAAGAATTATAAAACTCGCTGACAAGTTCCTTACCCGTGATGGCACAGTTGGCAAGGAAATAGTCGACTTGTGTTTGGACAGGATACGCAAGCTTGCCGACAACTGCACGGGTCTCCAAGGATTCCTCGTGTTCAATGCTGTTGGAGGTGGAACGGGGTCCGGCTTGGGATCTCTGCTTCTAGAACGCTTGTCCGTCGACTATGGTAGAAAGTCCAAGCTCGGCTTCACCATCTATCCATCTCCGCAAGTCTCCACCGCGGTCGTCGAGCCTTACAACAGCGTCCTCTCCACGCATTCGCTGCTGGAGCATACCGACGTTGCTGTTCTTCTCGACAACGAAGCGATATATGACCTCTGCCGACGATCGCTGGACATAGAAAGGCCTACATACACAAACCTCAACAGGCTTATATCTCAGGTATAAGAAAAACCAAAACGAAAGAGAAAAAAAAAATCGAGAGAGAGAGAGCCTACCGGATGGTTTCTTACTTGATTTGCAGGTGATCTCGTCGCTCACTGCTTCTCTTCGCTTTGATGGAGCTCTCAACGTTGATATCACCGAGTTCCAGACCAACTTGGTCCCATATCCTCGGATCCACTTCATGCTCTCGTCCTACGCGCCAGTGATCTCGGCCGAGAAAGCTTACCATGAGCAGCTCTCGGTCGCGGAGATCACTTCCACCACCTTCGAGCCAGCCTCGATGATGGCCAAATGCGATCCAAGGCATGGAAAGTACATGGCGTGCTGCCTCATGTACCGCGGAGACGTGGTTCCAAAGGACGTGAACGCTGCCGTGGGAACGATCAAGACCAAGAGAACGATCCAGTTCGTGGACTGGTGCCCGACGGGATTTAAGTGTGGAATCAACTACCAGCCACCGACGGTCGTACCGGGCGGAGATCTTGCCAAGGTCCAGCGAGCAGTGTGCATGATCTCCAACTCCACCAGCGTCGCCGAGGTCTTCTCCCGGATCGATCACAAATTCGATCTCATGTACGCCAAGAGGGCCTTCGTTCACTGGTATGTCGGCGAGGGAATGGAAGAAGGGGAATTTTCCGAGGCGCGCGAGGATCTAGCCGCATTGGAGAAGGATTACGAGGAAGTAGGCACGGAATCGGTGGAAGGCGATGGCGATGAAGGCGAGGAGTACTAGAAATCTAGCTACATTGGAAGAAATGTGACCTAGCTCTTGTGTAATGAGAGAGAACTTCCCAAGAACCCTAAAACTAGGTCGAAGTATGTTTTTGTAACGCGCAAGGGCGCGATTTCTCGCATGAAGCGGAGCGTGGCGCCGATCAGGGAATACGCGCGGCGGAAGCGGCGCCTAGGTATGATCCTGCTGCCTGATCGCTAGCTATCTTGAATCGAAAATGCTGCTTCTTGAGGAAATATTGCAAATCTGTGCTCGATCTTCTCGATTCGTTCCGAAATATTCGATTGTTATGCTTGATCCTATCGATTTCTTTCCTTGACCTTCTGTTCTCTACAGAGCTGGAAAGATCTCGCCACTTGTATGATATTTTCTACTTCCTGTGACTTTATTCCTTGCAGGGAGCAATGGAAGCAACGGGAGTGACGAGCATCGCATCGCTGCTCTTCGTAAGTACTCTTTATTGTATGAAAGTTTTTCTACACGCGTGTCCGTTTTCAATGGATCTAAGATGATTTTCTTTCCAGGTAGGCTGTCGAGGGATTCGCAGGCGCTTTCAAGCAATTTAACAGTTCTGTGATTAATTAAAATGTTCAAATTAATCTGGTGATACTCGCAGGAAAACCACGAGAAGGATGGAAATCTCAGGTACGAGTTAAAATCTTGTCATCAATCTTTATAAATGTTTTCCTTGTAGAAAACTCTCCAAAACCGAGGTTGCTCTTTATTTTTCTTGGAGAGGTCTATGGACTATATAATACAGGCTCAAATGAGCGGCCATGACTTGGCACCAGGAAGTCCATCGCTAGAGGAATTTTCTCGTCTGGACGAGTTGACAGAAAGCTTGATTTCTGCCATTGCAGGAAGCTCAGGTGCCGCCACTAACGAAAACGACACGCACCTCGCTTCTGGTACGCAGTTTTCTTTCTTCAAAAGTGTATGATTTATTTTCTTCAGGTGAACTGGCGCAACTGTCGGAAGATTGTCGGAAGGCCTTTGCCTACACAGTTTTGTGCTTAGTGTAAGCATAGCTCAAGTTAAAATTTTGACTTATCTTGTAGGTGATGGACGATGAGGACGATGCTGCGACTTTGAAGTACGTGTCAAAACCTTGCTCGTAACTTACGTCCTTTACTATTCTCCCAACAGGGAACTTCCTAGGCACGAGATCGTTCATCTGATACTGCGCACAGTGCAACAGGTCTTAACTGTTTTTATTTTGTAATTTGTATTCGTTTTAACTCTGGAGACTTTCTGTGTGTTTAGACGATAGCATTGCTGAAGAGAAAAGTTTCTGGCTAGAATAATAGATCAGAACAAGAAATGTACATAACACTCTATCGTCTAGATTTAAAGTATCGCGTGCAACTAAACATAATAAGGTATGAATCCTGACTTTCTTATGGAACCTAATTTGCTTAGTATGTTGTACAGTCCCACGTTTTTCATCCTTCTACAAAAGTAGAGTTTTTATTAAAGAGTAAAGTGCCTGTGAACCCCGGAAGGAAGCTGATATGGATGTTCCAAGATTTCTGCTGTTGCTGGTAGCAGCCTTCTCATGTAAGGTAGCAGCGTGGGGCGATGTTGGACACATTGTTACCTGCCTGATCGCAGAGGTATGTTTTCAATGAGATATTCATCACCGTTTCTCTTATATGCACATTTCTCAGTCCTTTTTCAAGGCGCCGACTCAGAATGCAGTCACAGATTTGCTTTCCGCTACTGGCTTGAACTTCTCACAGAGCTGCACTTGGGCAGATCAAGTCAAACGCTCGTATGCCTATCGTTGGAGCGCTCCCTTGCATTTTGCGGATACGCCCGACAACGTTTGTGGATACGACGATGAGAGTAAGGTACTAGAGTTAGACTGCGTAGGCTGACATGAAGGTTGGATGTTTCCAGGGGATTGTCACTTCCTGGGATTTAAAAACGTATGCTGCACTGCGGCTGTCTACAACTATACTTCGCAGCTTGAGAATCAACGTTTGCTCGCCTGTTAGTATCAAACTCTAAACTGCGTACTCTTTTGATTATGATTTGACAGATAATCGCACCGAGGCACTTATGTTCTTGTCCCATTACCTTGGAGATATTCATGAGGTTGTTTGTATTTCTGCTTGTTTTTAGTAAACTTCCTGATTTTCTGGACTGATTGCAGCCAATGCACATGGGATTCCTGGTGGCAATCGAGTCCGTGTTAGTTGGTACAATCGCTCAACCAATCTTCATCAGGTAAAAAATGGCTACATTTTGTTCGAGTCTGATTAGAATGCGCTTACAGGTGTGGGACGAAGATATTATTCACACGGCTATACAAAGGTACTATGGCGGCTCAATTGGGGTGATGGAACATAATATTAGAATGAGTATCACTGTAAGTCCTACTATTTATTTGCTTAGCTTCTCAGTCTCTAATTTTTTGTTCAGGCAGAAGAGGTTGCAAAATGGAAAAACTGCCGCGGTCGAAAGTTTGGCTGTCCACTGAGGCAAGTTCATACTTCCTTCAACTGAGAAAAATACCAATAATTTGAGTCTAGGTACGCTGAAGAAGGTGTCAAAATCGCTTGCGCTTGGGGTTACAAGGACGTGTCTCAAAACTTCACATTGGCTGGTTTGTGGTTACCCAATTGTTTTTCTCTATAAGATTCAGTTTGCTTTCTGGCAGATGAGTACTTTGAGACGCGCTGGCCGATTGTCAAAATGCTCCTCGCACGCGGAGGTGTTCGACTTGGTGGAATACTCAATGAGGTTTTCAACGAAGGGGCTGTTCGTAATTATGAGTGATCGATCTGATGGTCGGTGAAAGCTATGAGAACAATATTTCTGTGAGTATGGTCTTTTATCCCGACAAGGCTATTACCAACTTTTAATCTTTCTTAGAGAGTAAGCTTTGCGGTAGCAATGCACTGTTCATTTCTTACAACAATAACATGCTACACTCCAATGTGCCTGTCTTGTTGGTTAGCTGGATTCCAGTGACTGTTCATACGGAAAAGAGGAATATTTTTCATTGCGAGCTTCGTTCTGGTTATTTGCAACACTCGCTTCTCGATTATGGTTACCTTAAGGAGCGTGGTGTTGCTGTTGGCAGCATTCTCAGCCGAAGTTGCCGGTTGGGGCGACATCGGCCACATTGTTACCTGCACTATCGCACAGGTATTTCAACTCTAATTTCTATCACTGTGTTTATTTCTTCTTCTTTTTCTTCAGTCTCTTTTCAAGGCACCGACTCAGAGCGCAGTCACTAGCCGTGACTAGCCTCAACTTCTCGCACGCCTGCTTATGGCCAGATCAAGTTAAACGTTCGTATGCTTATAGCTGGAGCGCTCCTCTCCATTTTGCAGACACACCCGACAACGTTTGTGGATTTGCTGATAAAAGCAAGGAAAGAATTACTTCAGGTTCATTATAAGCTCACTCTAATATGCGCAGGGGATTGTCACTACTTTGGAGCTAAAAACGTGTGCATAACTGCTGCTATCTACAACTACACTTCGCAGCTCGAGCATCAGCACAACGTCACCTGTTAGTGCTAACTTTTGCTATTGCATTTCCACCTCACCAGTGTGATCTCACAGATAATCTCACAGAAGCACTTATGTTCTTAGCTCATTTCTTGGGGGACATTCATCAGGTTCGCTCTTTGTCCTTTTTCTTTGTCTGAAACAGTGAACTTCTTGCAGCCAATGCATTTGGGATTCCTTGGCGATCTCGGTGGCAACACTATACTTCTGACTTGGTACAACCGCTCCAGCAATCTTCATCGGGTAAGTATGAAGCTACATCCTACAGAAGGTGTGATGCCGAAGTTGAACTTTGTAGGTGTGGGACTCAGATATCATCAACAAGACTCTGGAAAGATTTTATGCGGGTTCCATTGCAAGCATGGAACATGATATCAAGAAAAGCATCACTGTGAACAACTTAGTTGCCATTTCTTCCCAGGTTACTTATCCGTGTTTAGGCAGAGGAGGCTGCAAAGTGGGGACACTGTCCTGGTGAAGAGTTTACCTGTCCAGTAAGGTAAGTGAGTAATTTGGTCTAAACTGGCAGAACAATCAGCACTGTGTCATTATCAGGTATGCGAAGGAGAGCATCAAATTTGCTTGTGCTTCGGGTTACAAGGATGCACCTCAAAACTCTACATTGGCTGGTTTGTTGCTTGCACTTTTTATCCTTTCGTAAGTGACAACTCTTGTTACACAGATGCGTATTTCGAGACGCGTTGGCCAATTGTGAAACTGTTGCTTGCACGAGCTGGTGTTCGTCTCGCTAATACTCTCAATAAGGTGTTAGACAAACTCGTGAACATTGTCCATGAGTAAGGAACTTATCTCTTGAATTAAAGGTTTCATTTTTACAGAGAAAGCATACTTAAAGAGACGAGTTTACTTAAGGCCGCGAAATGGCCACGTAGATATGGTCTTTCCAAAAATCCAATTGTGGATATGGCGGCGTGTGGAGTGAAGAATGAGGCTGTGGAGCTTTGGCGGCTTGTTCCAATCGTCGCCTTGGAGCTGGATTTGTAGCCCTCGCCATGGCTTTGCACGCCAAATTCGTCTTGGCGTGCAAGGATCCCTACGTCAGATTGACTGGATTCCCGGTAAGTTCTTCATTCCTTTTCTTATCTTCTCGAGACAAGTATTCGTTTCTCTTGTATAGGTGCTAGCGCATTGTAAAGAAATCTGCGCTGCAAGGCCTGGAGCTGGAGTGGCATCCACGCACCACGAAAAAATTGTTAGCAGCTTCTTTGGTTCTCTGCTGCGGCAAACGAGAAGTTTTCGACGTAGACCGCGACAGGCAATTGTTATTCATGGAGCCATGGACGTAAGTCTGGAGACAATCAACGACCTTGGATTGGACACGCTTACTTTCCTCGTCGCCACAGTGCTCGTCGTGCCTTCATTCAAAGCCTTCAAAGCAAGTCCTGTGAGTATTATTTTTCTCAACATGAAGCTCGAAAACTTTGTCTTTCTTTTGCGTAGATTTTGGGATTTCTCTTGTCTGGAGTAGTGATGAACCAGCTCGGACTTATCAGAAACGTGACGGACATCAAAGCTCTATCTGAACTAGGTATACTTTTCCTTGTAAGTATTTTCGCTGTGAGCTTTTGTGATGTTTTCCTGATCGAATTTCTTTTCATTTCCAACAGCTCTTTGAAATGGGATTAGAATTGTCTCTCGCTCGTTTAAAAGCATTGGCCAAGTATGCATTTGGCATGGGATTTGCACAGGTGCTTGATCGTTTTCTAGCCTTTCGTTTGATATTTTTTGGTTTCCTATGCCAGGTTTTACTATCGACAGTAGCGTTCGCAGCATTTGAGCTTCCACCAAATGGAGCACTGGGAACTAGACTTCTCGAATTTCTTTTCCATTCTCGACCGGATCTTGTAAGTTTTGTGGGCAAACGGCCATCTTTTAACTGTCCTTTTAACAGGTAAATATTAGAACTGTAGACGAAGCTGTAGTTATTGGAGCGGGTTTATCATTGTCTTCTTCCGCATTTGTCTTGCAGGTTTGTTGTCCAAAATGCTTCTTTGTTAATTTGTTAAGTGCTGTATTTTTGCAGCTTCTTTCAGAGAAGGGAGAACTTCCAACAAGATTTGGCTCTGCCACCCTTGGAATTCTTCTCTTTCAAGTACAAAATGCGCAACAAACTTCTTTTACTAACATGGTATTCCTAGGACATTGCTGTCGTACCTTTGCTGGTCATTCTACCAATTCTAGAAACCGGGGTATGTTATTCTGATATCTCATCTGCTCGTATCTTCATATCGATATTACAGAATTTTTCACAAGAGAGTCTCTGGCCTGTAATGGCGGCTGAAAGTCTAAAAGCCTTGGGTGGCTTGGGAGCACTGTCCCTTGGTGGACAATTACTTCTTCGTCGTATTTTTGAGGTTGGCCACCCCTCAAATCGCTTTATTTAATCGATTCAAATTGATACAGGTCGTAGCAGATGCAAGGAGCTCCGAAGCTTTTGTAGCTCTTTGTTTGCTTACAGTCACTGGAACGTCTCTGCTAACGCAAAAACTTGGGTTCAGCGACACGGTATGTGTATTCATACTCAGGAGATGCTTTTGTGCTGAATATTTCGTTGTGAAAGCTTGGAGCATTTCTCGCTGGTGCACTTCTAGCGGAGACAAATTATCGCACACAAGTCGAAGCAGACATTCGTCCTTTCAGAGGATTATTGCTTGGACTGTTTTTTGTAACGACGGGCACATCGATCGATCTCCAGGTGAGGACAGAGCATTGTTTTTGACCGATTTTGATACTGTTCTATCCATTTTGCAGCTTTTAATTCGAGAGTGGCCAAATGTTTTAGCACTCCTAGGTGGCTTAATCGCGATAAAAACACTAATCACTACCGCCATTGGCAAGAAAGTTGGCTTGTCACTGCCAGAAAGTGTTCGTACTGGTCTGCTTCTCTCACAAGGTGGAGAATTTGCCTTCGTGGTTTTCGCCCTTGCAAACAGGTACTCACAAAAGCGAGCTTTAGTGCCACTTTCTTATTACTTTTGTTGCTGTACAGGCTTGGAGTATTGCCCTTGGAGCTCAACCGTTTACTCATTATCGTGGTTGTATTGTCGATGGCTCTCACTCCTTTCTTGAACGAGTTTGGTCGCAAGCTTGCTAACATTATTGAGTTGAAAATTCAACAAGATTCCACGGAGGTATACTGGCTTTTCACGTTGAAGCTGATCCAGGTAGTCTTTACAGATTAAAAAGGTGGAAATTCCTAAAGTTGCTGAGCCGGTTGTTATTGTTGGATTTGGTCAGACTGGCCAGGTTTCTGATCTACAGCATAGCTTAGTTTGCTTACTTTGTTTTTCCAGGTTCTAGCCAACTTCCTGTCTACACCTCTAGCAAATGGTCCTGGCGGTGATGTTGAAGGCTGGCCATATCTAGCATTTGATCTTGATCCTAACCGCGTGAAGGCAAGCTGAAGTTAGAACTACAAGAAGCTTTTTGTTTCTCATCTCTTCTATCAGGTGTCTAGAACGCTGGGCTTTCCTGTCCTGTATGGAGATGGATCACGGCCATTGGTGTTACAAACTGCTGGGGTGGTGAAACCGAAGGCACTCATGGTGATGTACACTGGCAGAGGAAGTGCTGTGCGAGCAGTGGAGAGGCTGCGACTAGCATTTCCAGAGGTATTTTCATGTTTTTTTTTTTTTTGCACTAACCACCTGCGTGGACAGACGCCTATATTTGCTAGAGCACAAGACTTGGGACACTTGCTCGAGCTTAAACAAGCCGGCGCTACTGATGCTATCTTGGAAAACGCTGAGGTATGCAAGCCTTTGCTTTTCTCAGTGTTAAAAAAGCTTTAAAAACCATCAGACGAGCTTGGAGCTTGGGTCTGTGCTACTCCGGGGCCTCGGAGTCATGCCGGACGACGTCAACTTCTTGAGACGCATAATGCGCGAGTCTCTGGATGTCCAAGCGCAGGAAGCACTGGAGAAGAAAGCTGGTGGCGAGTTTGCGTGGGTGAAACCATTCCAGGTGAGTATTCTAATGCAAGTTTTTTGCTATAGTTTGTACTTATGTTTCTCTTCCAAACCAGGACAAGGTGCGAGATCATTCCACCAAGACCGGGTCCAAACAAGATTTAAGCTCCGAGTCCTTAGCTAGCAATGGGAGCTTTGTAGATAATTCTGCACTGGAGAAGCACCGTGACAATAAAACATGAATCACTCGGAACCATTCGAAAGCGTCAAGACAAGAGCAAAAGTTGGCGCAAATTGAGCAAGATAAGTGACACAAAAATGTGAAGGTAGTGCTCCACGCAACCAGATATCTGGAATATATCCCGGGATGCGTTACACACTCCCGAACTATAAAAGCTTGCCAGGCAGCGCTTCTTCCACTCGTAGCAATCCAAAGCTTCTCGGAGAGAAGAAAGGAAAGAGAGATGGCTGTGAAGATCGCAATGCTGGTGCTCGTGTCTTACATGTTAGTCTCCATGGCCGCGGCGGCTACATGCAGCAACAACTACTCGGCGCTGCTACCGTGTGCCGCCGCGACGCGCAGCGCTACGGCGACACCCTCGGCGGCGTGCTGCAAGGTGGTGGAGGGATTCAAGAGCAATCCGGCGTGCCTGTGCAGCACCATCGCCGCAGCAAGGGCCGCGGGATACAGCATCAACGAGCACAACGCAGAGAGCATCCCGACGCGCTGCAAGCTGCACGGATACACCCCGTGCAGCAAGAAGAACTAACTAGGCTTCTCGCTTTCTCGGATCTTCCATGTCGAGAGGATGAGCTATTCGTAGATTATAGAGAGAATAAAGATGAATAAGATGGCTTACCAAGGACTAACCCTGAACCTAATTAACATGAAGGAACGAAAAGCTACCAAGCGCTTTGTGGATTACCAGGCGCTGCTCAAGGTACTGTGGTCTACTCTTCCCCGCCAAAAGTATGCCACGGGAGGCGAGGTTGATGCAAGCAAATTCGCCATGCCCGCCTCCTTGCGAGTGGAGGGCGCTGGAGATCTCGCCCTTCCTCTCTCCGGCGATGGCTTCCTCAAGCTCAAGGCCGTGTCACAGCAAGCACCGTATGGAAAGGGCGAGGAAACTTTGCTCGACACTGATGTCCGCCGTGCATGGCAAGTAGACGCGTCCAAAGTGAGTTGCCCTCAAATCCCAGACTTTTTCTCAAAGGTGGTGCTCGACATGGCCGTTCCCGCGATGGAGGAGATGGGGATCGATGCGGCTGCGCTTGGCTTGGACGTGAGACTGTATAAGCTGCTTCTGTATGAGCAGCGTGGCCACTTCAAGTCTCACAGGGATACCGAGAAGGAGGTTGGGATGTTTGCGACGATGATCTTGCAGCTTCCAACAGAGTCCGGGCACGAGGGTGGCAAGCTGGAGATTCTTCATGGGAAGAAGAGTGTCACTTTTGATTTCTCTGGTCCCGATTCAAGGACGGGGTACTTTCAGACGGCTTTCTTCTGCGATTGCGAGCACAAGCTGGCCGAGGTGACGAGCGGGACAAGGCTTTGCCTGGTGTTCAGCCTGGTGCGGAGCAATGCAAAGTTTGTGGATGTCGATGCTCGCCACTACGTGTCAGCCATCGGGAGTGTTCAAAGCCAGCTGAAACAATGGGCTGAGAAAATGCAAGGCTCCTCGTCACCGATCCTCGCCATTCCTCTGGGCCACAAGTACTCGAACAACAGCCTGAGCTTTGCGGGGCTCAAGGGACACGACAGGGTTGTCGCAGCGCTTGTGCTGAGCTGCACAAGCTTCCTCGACGTTTATCTCTGCATGCTCGTCAAGCACACCATCGATAACGAGATTTGTGACACATTCGAGGTTGACTACAGTGTGGAGAACTGGACAACAATCGACGATCAAAAACCCGAGCACTTCACAAGTAGCAGCTTGTCTTTAGAAAATCAGGTTGTGAGGGACGACAGCAACAAGGGAGATCCTTTTGACGACTCACCAGACAAGAAGGAGACTGAGCCATACAATGGCAACGATGGCGGCGATACAAACTCGTTCTATCATACCGCAGCTCTGGTGGTGTGGCCCAAGGATTGCAGAATGGAGGCGCTGTGCGCAACACAGTCAGTAAGATCTATAGTGAACTGGCTCGAGGAGCAGCGCAAGCGCGAGCCTGGCCGGACGAGTGAGGATTTAGAGCGATACGTGGATGCTTTGTCAAACTCCCAGGATACAAGGTTGAATGTGAAAATTCTGCTAGAGTTTTGCATCAATCACGACTTTCGCGATGCAGCCTTTTCGGTCATGAAGAAGTGGGGGATGAAGCTCATGGAAACAGAAGCACAGGCTATGGTTGCTGCGGTACAAAAGTATGGATGGGATGAATGCTACAGCGGGGTGATTGAGGGGCTGTTGCAGAAGAAAGATAAGGTGCCTGAGGAGATTGTAAGCTTTGCTGAGCATCTGAGTGAGAGTGGCTTGCAGGAGGCGGCCGTAGTTTTTGCATATAAGCTCTTGGAGGACGAGAAAGTCTGCACGAGCGATTTGTTTTTGACACGTCTGCTGGGCTTCTTCGTCAAGTGTGGACGTGAAGATGACGCATGGAAGATTTTGGATACCGCATCCACACTTTATGACTTTCCCGCTGGCTGCTTGGTCCAGGTAGTCAAAAAATGGGGAGAGAGCAGCTTTCTTCGCATCGAAGAGTCTTGGGAGAAGACGCTGGCAATCAAAGAGGCTTCATGGGAGAGAGAAGCAGAGAAACCCGAGGAGAGCTATGGAAGATCTTTTAAATGTCCACCTTTGCCCAGTGAAACAGCGAAGAAAAAGATGGAAAAGCTGGCTAAGCTCCAGCTGGAAGGAAGGAGAGGATTTCTGCAAGTAATTGCCGAATTTGTCTTGGAGCTGGAGTCTCAAGGATGTCACGATGCTGCAAGGGCCTTGGCAAAGAAGAGATTCATCAAGGATGTTGACCTCGAAGAAATCTATGGTGGGCTAAGCGAGATTGGTAGTGACGATGCACTTGTGCTGCTCTTGGCTCTGGATGAGAAATTCCATGATGCCGTGAGGAAAGTGAAAGATCGGGAGCTAAGAAATACTGTGATCAAATTGAAACAAGCAGCAGGGCTGATTGGCTTGAAGAAGGATGAAAAGGTGACGCAGCTCTTCTTGGAACTTTTGTCACGAGCACTGATATACCGCAGTCACAACAAGGAACTGGCTGAAGTTGCAATTTGGCTGGGCAACGAGGAGATAGTGGGAAGTATAGTAAAGCGTGTGAGAAGTGGTGAATTTAAACTTTTGGAGAAAAACTTGGGTGGAGTCGAGACATGGGACGATATTGCTAGCTTGAATAAGAGAGCCAAGAGATGGGATGATGCTGCTAGAGATGGGTTGAAGAAGGTGATTAATGCTAAAATTTACTACTATGAAGGGCACAATGATGAAGTGGATGAAGAAGATGAAGAAGATGAAGAAGATGAAGAAGACGAGCACCAAAAACTAAACCCAAGGCTTGATCGTGTCAACTATGAGCGAATGATACAAAGCTCGGGTGACAAGATCGAGAAGCTGCAGAAGCTCTTGAACAAATTGGCTTGATTTGGATGGTCGATGTTGAGTCATATTCACTTGTTTAATTCAAATCCTGCTAAGATATTGAAAAATATAAAATATAACTTTGGCTAGCTAAAATATCGATCTACCTGCGCAATGCACAGCTGCCACCGCGGAGATCGATTGCACCAGCATTGGCCACCTTGCTGGGCCAAGATTAGACGCTGAAAAAACTCCATACATGATCTTGGGATCAAGGAACATACGCAAACAAAGATCAATCCATCGTCTAATATAGCCAGGATTACACAATTGACTACGACTCCACGCCTGATGGCCATGGCCCTTAAAATTAGGGCTACCATTTATAGACGTGGCATGCCAAGTGTGTTGTGGCATACGTGGCAGCGTACTCATCTGCCACGTGTTAGTAAGAAATGGAGATGGACTGGTCGGCCGGCGGAGATTCTCTTGCAAGCAAGTGTCAGTGCCGCGCATGGATCCAAACAGTGGCATCCTTGTCTTTCCATCCTTACAATGCGAGCGATCAAATATCCATTCCATGGTTTGGAACATAGATGTTAAAATTTTCCGATCATCATGACAATGCTTCCATTGTTTGACGCGAGCATAGAGAATGTCCTCCTCTCTTCCGTGTCGCGCTATGCCCTGGATGCCCTAATCGATCCATCCCAGCGGCGGCGGCAGCGCGAGGCGGAGCGGCGGTGGATCCTCGATCGGCAGCAGCAGCAGCAGGGCCAAGATCGCGAGGTCAGGTATGCGGATCAGGCAGTGCTCGCGAATCTTGGCTGGGGTATCGACGCGCTCGAGGAGGCGATCCAGACCGGCAATGTGGAGACGAAGATCGCTCGGCTGGATTACGCCGAGAAGATGCTCCAGGTGTGCGCGCTGCTGGATCGGGGGAGTGATACGGCGGGGATCTCCAATGCCTATCTCGCTGCCTCGGCTCACATGAATCTGGCGCTGGTGTGGAAGCTGCGGAGCGACGATCGCAGGGCCGCCGAGAATCTCCTGGAGATGTTCATCGCCGAGCCTTTCCAGTCGAGAGTGGATTTTGCTCCGGGGCTGTGGGAAGCGCTGTTCCAGCGGCATTTGACAGGGATCTCGAGCTGGTACTCTGAGCAGCGAGCGAAGCTACTCGCTGCTCCATCATCTCAGGATCACGCAACACTTGGTCATGGTGGTGACTATAGTGTGGATTTTCCTTCATACTCCAGGGACGATTTCTTTGCGGTTTCTACCGATGAAGTGGCTCTCAACAATCTCCTTTCGGCGGTTACTCCTGAGCAAGCAGCTCAACTCCAGGTGCTCGAGGAGCTCTACCAGAACACGCTGGACGATCACACCCGACAATATGCCAAGTTCTACAGGGATTGTTTGAGGCTTCCGTCGTCACAGCTCAAGGTGGTCAAGCCTTTGCTGCCGACTGCTGAGCCGCCGGCAACGGACGAAGTCTTCCAGCCTTTGAAAGCTCAGCTGGAAGTGATTCAGGAGCATGAGAGCGACGAAGAGAGGTACTGTGGCTGCGGCTGTCGGTTTTCTGGATTGTTTTTTATCTTGTCCGCTCCGATGATCTTATTGCAGGGATGGAGACAATGAATTAGTGAACGACACGGAAACGCAATTGTCGTTTTCGCGGCAAATCAAAGATCACAAGAGCTCTGAAGACAAGAAACAGCCAGCAAGCGCGACTTCTTCAAATGGAGCTTCACTTTCGCGCTCTTCCTCGTTTGACAAGATGAGTGAAAGGTCGCACGAGCATGCGCATCCTATGTCAAGATCTTCTTCAATCAGTGCTGAGTTTTCAAGACCAGGGGCTCAACAGAAAACGTCTCGATCATGTTCCTTTAATCGGAGCGAACTGGATACGAGTGAGCGCTCACTAGAGCGAAGGTCCTCGTTGAATCACGTCGAGCACTTGAATTCTATCTCCAGAGACGGTGATATTTACGATGAAGAAAGGTACTCTTACTACTTACTTTAGGGAGCAGTCCCTGACATTTTCTTTACAGGTCTGTGACGTCTGAAACGGATGCGTATGAAAGACGCATGGTCAGGCCTCCGAAAGACTTTGTCTGCCCCATCACGAACCAGCTCTTCGATGATCCAGTGACACTTGAGACAGGACAGACTTACGAACGAACAGCCATACGGGAATGGCTGGAAAGAGGGAACACAACTTGTCCCATCACCCGGCAGCTCTTAAAAAATAGAGCTCTTCCAAGTACCAACTACGTGCTGAAGCGGCTGGTGGAAAACTGGAAGGAAATACACGGTGCCGGCAATTCTATGGAGTCCTTTTACGACGAGAACCAAGAGCTCTGGCAAGATTTGGAAAATGAGGATGCGTTGCTACGTTCTTCTCCGAGCAGTGTCATCAGCTCAAGCTCCAGGCAAAGTCAAGCGCACAAGAAACATATGAAGGGTGACGCATCCGCTGTTGAAGGCTTCATGCACGAGCTAAAACCCGCGGTGGAGCGTTTGTGCGTGTCCGAGGATTTGCAAGAATGCGAGCAGGCCGTCATGACCATCGCAGCAGTCTGGGAAAAGTGTTGCGGTGACTTTAGAGTCGAGGCCAGCCTGACCAAAGCCAGCGTGATCGAGGGACTCGTAGAGGTGCTGTCGGTTTCAGTAGCGCAGGAAGTGCAAGTTGCTGCAGCTCGGATTCTCTCGGCACTGGTTGCAAGCGATGAATTTACGAGGCACACCATCGTCAGAGCGGACCCAGAACTCGAGTCGATTGTGAGGCTCTTGAAGAACGAAGTGGCTCAAGGAGCTGTTCTTCTTCATCAGTTGAAACTCTCGGCGAACGAGATGAACGCTCTAGACATTGTAGCAGACCTGGTGAAAATCCTAAGGAAAGGATTGGATGGTGTACAAGGACAGGGTGACAAACTTTGTAGTCCAAAGGCTGCCGCAGTTGGCTTACTCCAGCAACTGGTATCAACAAGTCCCGAGAGGCCTCATTCAAGTGCTCATTTGCTACTGGCTCTGGAAGCAGTCCCCATTCTGATAGAGAATCTCAAAGCAAAGGACATCGACGAGAGGCTGTCCACCATCTCAGTCCTGCTTTGCTGCATGGAAGCAGACGGCCGGTGCAGGAACTTGATATCCAGGACTGCACAGTTGGGACCTGTTGTGGAAATCCTTGTTAGAGGCTCTGGTTCCGCTCGGGAGCTGGCTACATTCTTCTTCTTGGAGCTTGCTCACTCAAACAGGTATGACTGAATCTTTCTTGACAATTTGCAAAACGACTTGTAAAAACAGGAGAGAGACCAACAACAAGGTGCTTACAACTGTGAAGAACGAGGGGATCCTTTCCACGATGCATGTTCTCTTTGTTGCTTGTCAAAAGGCGCCTATTGAGCATAAGCATACGATTGCAGTGCTTATGCTTCAGCTTGAGATTCTGGTGGGTAGCGTGCCCTTTTTCCCTCGCATTTTGCAAATATACTTAAAATTTGGCAGGGCCAGCGACGACAGCAAAGTATTTACAAAGAGGAAGCTTTGGATGCAATTGTAGCTGCACTGAGCAGAGAGTCACCATTTGATTGCCAAGTTGAAACAGCTGAAGCATTGGTGGCATTAGTGGGAAGATTTTCGTATGCGGGTACGCCTCTAACAGAAGCCTGGCTGCTCAAGTTAGCTGGTCTAGAGCAGCCTTATGAACTTCTTACGAACGAGGATCCTCAACAGGAACGCGAGGTTCTGGTGTCACAAAATCTCTATATTGATGGCTTGCTAATTGTGATCACGTTGTCAGGCTGCAGAAGAAAAGGCTGCAAATCTGTGGGAACTGAATGCGGCTAGAGTGTTCCTTGAATTCGAAGGAGGGGCAATTCTGGAGGCTCTCGGAGCTATGTTGCAAAGCAAAAACCTCGAGTTATGGAAGCCGTGCATGATATTTGCAGTCTGGTTGAGTTTCGTGGTGAAAAAGCTGCCTAGCTCAGGTCTCCGGCCATATTTTCGTCGATATTTTCTGGCACCTTTTGTGGTAGCACTGGAATCTGCGAAAAATGTCCAACAAAAAGTATTGGCTGCGTTGGGACTACACACATTCCTCGACGATCCAGGTAATAAAACTTGGTTAGCCTTCCAACTATTACAAGGCCTTAGTACTGTCTCTGTGCAGAAAGTATGCAAGAGCTTATTGGCTACGCTAAGGATGTGGTCAAGCCATTGAGGCAACTGAAGAAGGTGACATGGATTGCACAGGAGTTTAGTGAAGCTTTTATCAAGTGTACGTCGTTGAATCCAGTAAGTAGAAAGATCTCCGTTCTATAGAGCAAGAAAGTGAGCTTTTTAACATAACAGATGGAGCTCTGGCAACATTCTGAAGTTGGTCAATTGGATGTCACTCGAAGCGGGGAGGTTCGATGCCTCGCACGAAGTAAAGGAAGGCTTTTCAGCGGACACTCCGACGGCAGCATTCAGGTTTCAGTTTCTCTCACTCAATTCTATGTAATGTGAGTTTTGCTTTTCAGGTCTGGGAAACAAAGAAAAAGGTGCCAACTTTGCTTCTGGTACTTACTGACCATAGCAAGGCCGTGACGAGCCTGGCCTTGTCGTCGTCTTCAAACCGGCTGTATAGTGCCTCGCTCGACAGGACTGTTCGGGTAAGCACAACTTTAGAGATTTTCGGCTGTTAAGTAACTCGGAGAGGCAATCTTTTCAGGTGTGGGCAATCTCACCGGAGAGTGTTCTCTGCATGAATGTGTTGGACTTCAAGGAAGCCGTCGGTGCACTGGCCATCAGTGGATCTACAATAGTGACCGCAACAGCTCAAGGCAATGGAATCAAGGTTGGTTTTACATTTATCCTCTGCATCCAGAACTTGAGTTTCTTCTGTGTTCTTCAAGGTACAAGCTGAAACTAACTCGTCGAAGCAACTCAATTCTGGCAAGCACGTCCAATGTCTTGCTGTTTCAAATGGAAATGTCTATTGTGGATGCACCGATACGAGCATCCAGGTAAATAGTAAAAATGCACACTTCAGTCTGAAAGAAATATTTTGGATACAATGCTTGGCAGGAAGTTGATCTAGAGGAAAATTCTGTTGTGACCATCCAGCCAGGAACGCGATCTCTACTGGGAAAGAAGCCAGTCTACGCTATACAAATTTTCAAGAGCGAGATTTTCTCTGCTGGAGCTGTTGTGGAAGGAGCAGCAGTCAAGGTAAGGAAAGTCTCCAATCAATACAAAGTTTCATATACCTCGTCTCTAATGGCAGGTATGGGATCAAACCGACTACTCTTTGAAGCGATCTCTTCCCACAAACTTGGAGATTCGATCCATAGCAGTGCACGACGATTTCCTGTACCTCGGATCGTCGTCGGGAATCATCGAGGTTTGGCTGAGGGAGAGAAACACTAGAGTCTCGGTGCTTAACATTGGCAGCAAAGTTAACGCACTCTTGCCGGACGGAGATGTTGTCTACAGCGCGTCAGAGGATGGAAAGATAAGAATCATCTCGTTTTGATAGACGTCCAAAGTTTTAACTCAGAGCTTGGATTGAGAAAACAAATTGGTCTAATTCCAAACATTGTTTTCATCATTATGGAAGAACTCAAGCCATGTCTTCAAGAGCTTGCGAACCATCTCCAAGAACTGTCAATGACAACACGCTCATTCCTTGGGTTGCTGTTGTTATCTTACAATTCACTATTTCTCAACAAAGAACTGAGCTACAACCACCTCTTCAAACTTTTCCTGGAATCACTGTCTCATCCTTGGATTTCTTCACTAAACTTCTTTGTTTAGAAATCACTCCTCTTCAAACTCATCCCTGGAATCATCATCTCAACTTTCAGCCAGCTTTTAAAAAATATTTTTGTCAACACTGACCTCACAAGTTCCTGATCGCCCAGCCAAAACGCAGCCTCGCACGCCCAGTCTTTCATCGTGTCATCCATTTTGAGCAGTATTTCCATGAAGAGCTGCGTCATCATGTCATCCTCTTTCAATCAGTCCGGCTGCTTTCCTCATGGTTTCGGCTATCCGTTCCCTGGAATACATGCAATCTTTCACCTTCTTTCTCACATCTTCACAGAACTTATCATCCATTGTCAAGAGCAGCACAAGATCTGTGCTCCATCCATATCTTTCCTGGGTGACATCTTTGAAGAACTCCTTGTTTGCAAAGAGCATCGTATGAAGAGGGGATGGTACTTGGGAGAGCTGGCGAGATTCGCTGTGGAGCTCGAGTGCCAGGGGTGTCACCTCTTAGGACGAGAGAATAGATATGGTGATGTTGTAGTAAAGTGGATCGAGGAAAGACTCAAACTGGAGCCAAGGGCATTGAGAGCTCTTATAAGGATGATGATCTGCTGGAGCTTTGCCTGAAGCATGGTTTTCGCGAAGAAGCCCTCCTGGTCATGAAGACGTGGGGGCTGATGCTTATGGCAAAAAAGTGGACGGGGGTCCAAGTTACAATATCCAGATCAAACGGGAATGAAACTCCAACGCATCCATACTTTGCAAAACCATTTGCAGAAGTGATCCTTTGTCAATTGAACTCCAAAGTCCGGGAGCATTCTCACAAACCATTCTCTAGAGCTTGCAGAGGTGGACATTCTAATTGTCGGTGTAACTCAAGACGAGTGCTCAGCCGTCCTGTTTATGATCATTTGATTGTAAGGCCTTTAGTTTTACTCAATGACAAAAAAAAAAGGAGCTCCTGCCATTTGGGACTGAAATAAGCTGCTCGGCTAGCTTGCACTTGTGAAGTGACTACACTTTAGGTTTGGGAGGCTGGCCTAAATTCGAACTGTGTTTGTTTCACCAAGAGCCATGACTTTGGTGAGAAAGTAGCTCACTTCCATAAATTTGTTGTGATTTTTTTCTCTGGAGGCTGATATTAACTAATTAGAGTAGTTATATGGAAGATTTGTGAGTGTGAATGTCATAGTTTTGGCAGCATTATACACAACTTCTTGCTTCAATCAGAATTTTCTTAATCTATTTCATAGTCACTAAAATTTTCTATTAAATTAGTTCAGATTTTGCATAGTGACTAAAATAATTTAGGGAATAAATAAATATTATGCATTGCTCCAAACACTCTTTTGTATATAACCTAAAATTTTTAATTTAACTCTAAACCCCAATTCCTAATGACGGCTGTGGGATTTGAACCCACGCCCTTACGGATTGGAGCCTAAATCCAACGCCTTAGACCACTCGGCCAAACCGTCATTATATGATCATCGAAATGTTAAAAAGAAAAACGTATGCTCTGGATTAGGTCAAAATAATGGTGGACGCCTCTGGCCTGATCGATCACGGCGAAGCGCGCGACGAGGATTATGCCGGCGAGGAGCTGCGGAGGTACTTCGTGCAAGAATGGAGCTCTCTCAAGGAGCTCCTGGACAGCATTGTGGCGGCGCAGGGATCCGCGGAGCTTGGCATGTACAAGAAAGCGCAAAGCATTGTAAGATCTTGTTTTGAGCGATCAGTGAGTGAGTTTTCTATGGTTTCTTGGCTGTAGATCGACAAGTATCAAGAACAAGGGCATCTACTGGAACCACATTTGGAAGTGATCGTTGTTCCTCTCATGGAAGTTCTTCGCTCCAATCTAGCGGCGTGTGAGGACATCCAGGACGCCGACTTGGAGATTGTCAAGAACGTTTGCTGTGTCATTCACAAGCTCATCACGGTGTGTGGCTACAAGACGGTGGTCAAGTTCTTCCCTCACCAGGCATCGGATCTCGAAGTAACAGTCGCCCTCCTGGAGAGATGTGACAAAGAGGTTGGTTCCTTCTTCTTTTTCGAGAACTTTACGTGGTTTTCTCGTGAACAGATAAAGGAATGTGGCAGCTTGAAGGAAGAAAGCGTGGGTGAATATGAGACCAAGTGTAGCTTGCTTTTATGGCTCTCGATCTTGGTTCTCATCCCTTTTGACTTAGCTTCCGTTGATACTGCCTTGGGGTACTCGACAACGAGCACAGCATCTTCGTCGCCTCTCGTCGAGAGAATGCTGAACTTGTGCAAGCAGTTCTTGTCATGCTCTGGTCCTGTTCGCGAAATGGCTGGAGTCGTTCTGTCCAGGCTTTTGACGCGGCCGGATATTCATTCTCATCTTCTCGGGTACGAATAAGTGCTGGTAAATGATCTTGGCTTAATTTCTTCTCGGCGCAGGTTCATGGCCTGGTCACAAGACGCACTGAAAACTTCTCAAGACAGCTCTACAGGAGTTTTTCTTATTCCTGGTACAGTCAATGCACTGGCTGGAATTTTCAAGGTGAGATGTTCTTCTTGCTATCGGCTGTGTTAACGTATTCTACGCAGGTGGGAGATCGTAGCATTCTACTGGAAATTGCACCTATTGCATGGAAGGAAGCGAGTGCGCTATCCGACTCGCCCCTTGCAACTCGTAGTCCTTTGCTACGAAAGCTTCTCGTCAAGCTGATTCAGCGCATCGGCCTAACATATTTGCCTCCAAAGCTAGCGGCGTGGAGATACATGGTCCGTGGCAAGTTCTATGCAATCAGATTTGACTTCTTTCTTGCTTTTGCAGCTTGGCACGAAGTCTCTTTCCCAAAATCTGGAGAAAACAAGCGACGTGCTGCCTGACGATGCCTCTGCCCCCACCGCTGAACAGGACGAGGATGGCTGTGACGTTCCAGAAGTTATTGAAGAGATAATGGAGAAGCTTTTATCAGGACTGAAAGACAAAGTAATGGACTTGTAAGAGGCATTCTTTTTTTTCCTTTTTTATCTCGTGTTGGCACTGACGGTTTTGTTTCTTAGGATACAGTCGTGCGGTGGTCGGCTGCGAAAGGCCTGGGGAGAGTAACGAGTCGTTTGAGCTCAGAAAATGCCGACGATGTCGTTGCATCGGTTTTGGAACTGTTCTCACCAACTGAGGTACAGTCTGAAGCTACCCGTGCTTGAAAGTTTTGTGATTCCAAGCTGCAGGGTGACGGTGCATGGCATGGAGGATGCCTAGCACTTGCCGAGCTAGCACGGCGTGGCCTGTTGTTGCCAAGACGGCTTCCAGAGGTTGTACCTCTGATTATCCAGGTCTGTATATCCTTGTTAGGCATTGCATGTAGTAAAACTTACAATGCATGGGCAGGCGTTGCATTACGACGTTCGAAGGGGTCCACATAGCGTCGGTGCTCATGTCAGAGATGCTGCTGCCTACGTTTGCTGGGCATTCGCGAGAGCATACATGCCGGCCTTGATGAGTGAGCATTTGAAGAAGCTGGCACCTGAAATGATCGCTGTTGCGTGCTATGATCGCGAGGTTTGTTGCTCTTCTTTTAAGCTTCATGCAAAATGATTAACATCTTCTTTACCAGGTTAACTGTAGACGGGCGGCTTCTGCTGCTTTCCAAGAAAATGTAGGACGTCAGGGGAACTTTCTTCACGGGATCGACATCGTGAATGTTTCAGACTACTTTTCTGTTGGTTCTCGTCCGCATGCCTACCAGCATGTTGCGGTGTTCGTCGGACAATATGAGGAGTACCGAAAGATATTAATTGACGATCTTTTACTCTCGAAAATCCGTCACTGGGTAAGACTTTTCTACTCTTTTTCTTCTTTCGTCGCATGACATCCTGGATATTGGTTTGTGTGTTGATAGGATAGGGGCCTAAGAGAATTGGCAGTTGTAGCACTTTCGCTTTTGGTGAAGTATGACCCGGAACTCTTTGAGACTAAAATCCTTGGGTCCCTTGGTTCATGGAGTCTTTCAGCTGACCTCAATTTGCGTCATGGAGCTACATTAGCTGCTGCTGAAGTTACGCGTGCTCTTCATGAATGCGGTTTCAAACTTTCGGCAGGTACTTTTTGTGCAAGTTTGCAGCTGCATTGCTAATATCATCTACCAGAGAAGGAAAAGCTCGTAGCCGGTATGGTACCAGCCATTGAGAAAGCTCGACTATATCGTGGAAAGGGAGGGGAAATCATGCGTGCCGCTGTTTCGAGGCTCATTGAATGCACTGCATCGTCGGGCATTCCGATCTCTTCAAAGACAAAGAAAATTCTTCAGGACACCTTGGACGAAAATCTAAAACATCCCAATGCTCAAATCCAAGTAAGGGTCAAGCTGCTCCGGACATACTCAAATTCACAATTTGATGTTTTGCAGGCGGTTGCAGCCGCGGGGTTTAAGAGATTTGTCACGGCTTACTGTTTTCCCGTAAACTCTTCCGCGATAGCGAGCACCACAACAAAACATCTTCAGGGTCTAAAAGACGTGAATCCTGCCAGACGTCGTGGTTCTGCTCTCGCACTTGGCTCCTTACCCCAAGAGTTCTTGTTTCCACTGTGGAAAGACGTCGTAGATGGTCTGTGTAGTGCATGCCTTGAAGTAAGTCGTTGTTTTTGAGCTGAAGCTGCTTGGTAATCGTGACACCTGCAGGAGAACGTGGAAGAACGAGATCCAGAAGCACGAGTAAATGCTGTGCGCGGTCTGAGAGATGTTTGCAATGTTTTGGCCAACTCCCAGTCCCAGTTTCCGGATGATTTTTCGGTGGCATTCGTCGCAACATTAGGTGGCCAAGTATCTGACTGTCTTTTCAAGGCCTTGGACGACTATGCCATTGACAATCGTGGAGACGTCGGCTCTTGGATAAGGGAGGCTGCCATGGAAGCTCTGGAAACATGTACAGTTCTTCTTTGCAAGCTCTCGGACACTCAGTCCCTCGTGGATGAAAGATTCGCCGTCCGTGTGTTTGGAGGCTTAATCAAACAGGCTGCGGAAAAGATTGACCGTATACGAGAAGCAGCAGGGAAAACGTTACAACGTATGCTGCACAAGCAGGAGTTTACAATACCGTGCCTACCTCACCGATGCGAACTACAGCAAATATTTCCAAGCGACGAAAGTTTACTCTGGGCCGTAAGTTCTATCGTTTGATTGTTGTTTCGATGATATTGACTATCGCATGTTGTTTAGGATCCCATGGTGGCGTATCCGCGGCTCGTCAGATTGATTTTGTTTCCCGCGTATCGATCGTATTTTGTCGCCGGACTAATTGTCTCGGTCGGAGGGATATCGCAGACGCTAGGCAAAGTCTCACTGCAGGCCCTCCTGGACTTTTTAAACTACAGGATCGAGAATGATAACCGGGAAATCAGTCTCGACCAGGACCGAACTGGAGTACTCGCCAGAGAACTTTCGCTGGTACTTAAAACATCTGCGGGAAACGATAGGCTTGCCTTGCCTGCGATCAAGGTAAGCTCTCCATCTCTCCAGCTTCTCGATGGATTTGGAGTTCATGCATGCTAGCTTTCCAGACAATAGACGCATTATTCAGCAAAGGAGCGTTCAACGACTTGAAGGTGATTCTTTTATACTCAATTCAGTTTTTCATTCCTAACATCGTAAAGCTTTCAGTCCATAAGCAACACATTTGCAACGGAAATCCTGGATTCCTTGCAAGCCGAACTTAAAGGCAGCAAAGACGTGAGCAAGATCCTTTCGTGCATCAACGTTTTCATGGGCATTGCTTCACTCCAAGTCCAGGCCAGCAAGCAAGCACAGTCGCAGCTGCTGACACTTCTGGGACACCGCTATCCAAAGGTTCGTTTATTTTTATTTTTTTGGTTTTCGTCCTGGAGCATCCTTTTTGTCATACAGGTGCGAAAGGTTGCCGCAGAGCAATTATATCTGGTCCTCCTCCAAAATGGCCAGTTCTTTGGCAGCAGCGACGCAGTGGACATGGCTCTGGGTTTGCTCCTGGAGACGTGCTGGGACGGTCCAATCGAAGGACTGAGAGACGAGAAGAAGAAGCTCTTGAGCTTGTTCGGTGTGCTCGGTCCAGCTCCATCCCTGGACAACAACGCAGGAAGCCAGCACGGCCTCCCTCCACTAAAATCCAGCGACGAGAACGCTTCCTACGCTTCCTTGGTAGATGCGGCTGGCTACTAGACCCGGTAAGCATGCTAGAAAAAACAAATTTTGATCGCTAAAAGGTCCACTTTTGATTAACAGGATAGGAGATCTTAGAGAAGGCTTAGTCAAAGTAAGTTATTGACAACGTATAGTGTGCCTTGGAAAAGAGAAGAGCAAAGGCTCTATCAATGATATGGTAATCTTCCGTCTCCCAAATTTTCTAAGCCTCCAAATCTTTCGCATCTTTCGCATCTTTCGTCAGACATTGTCATCGTGAAACCACCACCTCGTGTCTTTGGGCGACTTGCGGCAGCTTTTAACGTATCTGTCATTGTCCTGCGGCCGCTCCTACAAGAATCAAAAATTCAGAAAAGGAGAGTCAGTCACCATCTCTCCCAAGCGCACGACCTTTCGGGACAAACAAAAAGCGAATTTTTGCGAGTACCTTGGCCGGAGAACTTGAGAGCATTGAGAGAATGCTCATGCAAACCGAGCTGACGGTCATGGCTGGGGACCAAGACTCGTACAGAATGTCTGCAGTGAAAGTAGACCAAGCATCCAAGTGTGTCGTCAATGGCGTAAAAGAGAAGGAGAATCGAAGCTCCTTACCTAAGCAAATATGGCCATTGCTGTAGATGTGGGGATGTAGAGGAGCAGGCTCCAAGAAAACGACCTGGAAACCAATGAACCCGATGAACAAAGAAAGAAAGAAAATAAAGTTGAGAGCGAGAAATTGGCTTTGCTTGAATTCGTTACCTGAGGTGATTCCATCGGATAGTTCTCTGGGAATTCAATCTGGAGGATGTATTTCTCGTCCGCGTAGAGCGTTCCCGACGCCCCAATCATATCTATGTGCCACCTGTTCGAGAAGGAAAGAAAAAAGAGAGGAGAAATCGATCGGAATTGCGAAATCGCGGCTGTACCTTTGGAGATTGTCCGAGTATTTGTGCTTGAAACCAGCTGGAGGATTGATCTGCCACTCTGCGAGCTCCTTTTGGAGGCGATTGGCCGCAATCTTGCTCAGCACCTGGAAGAACACATTGAGGGATCCAAAAGCTGAGAATCACACTGGAATGTAGCTGCGCGCACGGGAAAGAGAGACCCTACTCGACCTTTTGGTGGCCCGACGAGACGGCCGTATCGGGCGCGCGACGAGACGGCCGCTTCTTCGATCGGACCTCCGCCTCGAGCGACGCCATGGATCGATGGCGCAAATCCGAAAACCCTAAGGCGCTGGAATGGAAATTTTTTGCGCCTCCTTCCAAAATGCTATAAGACTCTTCTCACACGCACAACAACGAAGCAAAATGGAGGTCCCAATTCCAGACCCAATCGGACGGCTCAAACGCCCGACATTCCGGAGATCCAACGGCCGAGATTACGGACCTAATCGGACGGCTCAAACGCTCGACATTATGGAGATCCGGCGGCCACGATTACGGCTGCGCCGCACTCGAGCTACCAAGAAGATACTTCACGCTACACTGAAAGCTCCCATTCCTTTTCTTTTCCTCTCTCTTTCGTCCAAATTCTTACCAATCCCCGTCTCAATCGAGGAATTTGGTGGTGTACTTCGAGCATTTTTTTTCTCTCTTCATCTTCTTCTTCTCCGGACGAAGATTTCATGCTTAGCCATACTTGCTGGAATCGTAGCTTTACGGCGGGTATAATGACCACAGTGCGATGCACGAATCTTGAGATGATGAAGCTAGCAAAGCGTTGTCGCTGGAGAACACAACTCCAGTCACCTACAGGCAAAAGCAGTGAGAATGCTGCCTCGCAGCAAACCAAGGCACTCACCGATGATGAATGATACTTGAGAATCGCTAGAGCGCGCCTGCGTTGATAATCATATATCCGGACGCTGGACTCCGCCAAGACGCAAATAATTTGTGAGTGAATGAATGGTTCCACTGAAGCTTACCGGTTATCCCATCCAGCAGTGGCAGCGATCTTACAGTCTGGACGAACTGCGACGTCTCCAATACCAGGCCGTCCGTGGTTTACTTCCAGTATCGACGCAAACGCGTTCTACAAATGGCAAAAAAGGAAGTTGGAGCAACCTTCGACATGATCGAACGCACCTGCTTGTAGTCAATGTTGAAAAACACCGTTTTCTCGTCAGCCGCACCGGACATTCCACCTCGGCACCAATCATCCAGCGCAAGGCTCAGCACTGGCAGGAAAATGACACAAAAGTTTCACGACCATAGCTACAAACTTTGCGTGTTACGTACCAGGTTCCGTGTGAAAACGAGCAGTAGTACGAGGAGAACGACAGTTTCTCATGTCCCATAATGCCATGCTTCCATCCTCGTACCCAACGAGTACGTTGGGAGTCCCGTCTAGCTCAGGTGGTACAAATAGCTCGAGCGCCATACACATTCCTGCGACAGGGATTTAGAACGTTCACACATTGATATGCCTCGAACATAGATTACCTGAGCCTTTCGTATCGTGATGATGATGCAGCCGCTCCACACGAACACCCGCATCGACGTCCCAGATTTCAGCCTGCAAGCTACACGATTTAAGAATCAATCAGCAACTGAAGGAAAGTTTCGGGAAACTAGAGGTAGCTGCCACTTACAATCGAGGGGTCCTCGCCAGCAATGGCCACGAGAGACTTTCCTGGGACGAAAAATGAGGCAAAGTTTGTCCGGCAACCCAAGGTTGTATTACCTGAAAGATTTCGAGCTATAAGATTGTGCTCCACATTGTCGCTCTCTTCCAGGGCAACTTCAGTAATGACAGGAGCAGTAGACACTCTCAAAGGCGAGAGCTTGCAAAAATGATACGCATTCGTTCTGATTGTGACCAGAGGTTCCCTGCAAGACGAAAACCAAAGAACGTGAGAAAAGGAAAAGGAGAGTACAACCCCACACACAAAAAAAAAAGACCTTGATAAGCTTGCTTCACCTAGCTGCCAGCATTTGACAGTGCCATCGCGTCCTTGGCTGCGAGAACAAAGACGATGATACTCACAATCACTCAAGCAAAAGAAAGCTTGCTTGCCTTAGAACTTTGTTCTCCATGAGCCCGCTAGTGCCAATTCCAATCACTCCAGCCTTGGGACTGTGTGCTCTAAACCGAAAGAAAAAACGCAATAAAATTCGCTCTTGATCGATCCTCCAAAAGAATTCTACTCACTGGCACGAAGCGATCGTCCTTCTGCGACTAACATCCCAAATCCGGAGCTCGCCATTTGTGTCACTGAGATGAAAGAGATGAGGCCGAGAGCGCGAGGAGATCTCTTGGATCCCTACCCGGAGAAGAGGAGCTTGGCGCCGTGAAACGCGACGGCATTCACGCCCGATCTGTGCGCCCTGAGCACCGCGATGGGATCTGGAGGGCGCCCCAGGCTAGACATCTACCTAGAAGAAATATTTCGATAAACCCTAAAACCACGGCAATGGCGCTACTTCTTCCTGGCGGCATTGCCACTCCGGGGCTGGTTTGGAAGCAGCGGAGGCGCGCATCGATCTGCAAGGCCTCCGCGGCGCCATCGCCTGATCCGGCGTGGAGGACGAATGTAGTCTCCGAGAGGGCTGCTAGAAGTGGTGTGGAAATCCCGCGGAGCATCGAAGAATGCGAGGCTGCTGTGGTGTCGGGGAATCCTCCAGAGGCTCCTCCGGTTCCAGCCAAGCCCAAGGCGCCACAGGGCACTCCTCTGGTCACGCCCCTGGTAAGCGATAGCGGAAAGAATTTTCTTTCTTTCTTCTTGTTCTTCTCGGTGAATTCTTCTCGTGGTTGGAATTCTCGCAGAGATTATCATCCAGGCCTCGTCGAAACAGGAAATCCGCTGCGCTGCGAGCTGCGTTCCAAGAGACCACTTTGACGCCAGCGAATTTCATACTGCCTCTTTTCATCCATGAAGGTTCTTCGCATTGTTTCTAGAGTTTGCTTGAAAGGCAAAGAACTTCCTTGCGTCAGGTGAGCAGGATTCACCCATTGGAGCGATGCCCGGTTGCTTTCGACTGGGATGGAAGCATGGATTGATCGACGAGGTAGGAAAGTTTGTTCTTGGCCAGAAAGGTGGCTCACTTTCTTTCTTTTTTTTCTTCTTGTCCTGTTACTTCCCAGGTTTACAAGGCTCGAGATGTTGGAGTGAACAGCGTTGTTCTCTTTCCCAAAATTCCAGACGCTCTCAAGGTATGTGCTAGATCAATTCCAAGCACCGAAAAAAGAAAGTGCTCAAGCATTGTGCCAGTCCGCCACAGGAGATGAAGCGTACAATCCAAATGGCCTTGTTCCGCGAGCTATACGCATTCTCAAGGATAAATACCCCGACCTGGTGATCATCTCTTCTCTAGTTTCGGTTTTGTGATCCTTAACTTCTTTCCATTCCAGGTGATCTACACGGATGTGGCACTGGATCCATATTCATCTGATGGTCACGACGGAATTGTGAGAGAAGATGGTAAGCACGGATGCTGTTCCGTCGTTTTTGTAATGCTAAACTGCTTTCTTTCTCGTGTAAGGCGTGATCATGAACGATGAAACTGTCCATCAACTATGCAAACAAGCTGTTGCTCAGGTTTTTTTCTTGTTCTTTCTCTTTTTCTGGTTTGCTGAGGTTTCGTGCTATCAGGCTGAGGCTGGTGCTGACGTTGTGAGCCCGAGCGATATGATGGACGGTCGTGTTGGTGCGATTAGAACAGCTTTAGATGAAGCTGGATACCACGACGTATCGATCATGGCATACACCGCCAAGTAACTCTTTCGTCCCTTCTCTCTTTTTTGGATCTGACGCGCCTTCGCTGTTCTCAGGTATGCAAGCGCGTTCTATGGTCCATTCAGAGAAGCTTTGGACTCAAATCCCCGTTTTGGAGATAAGAAAACGTAAGCAGTTCCTCTTTTTCTCCAACTCTTTTGCTCACTCTCTGGAGAATGAAAACCAGATACCAGATGAACCCAGGCAACTACAGGGAGGCTCTTCTCGAAGTACACGCAGATGAATCCGAAGGCGCAGACATACTCATGGTAAAACAGCTCTTCCAACATTTGGAGTTTTGCTCACAGGTTTCTCCACAGGTGAAGCCGGCTATGCCATACCTCGACGTGATCCGACTTCTACGTGATACATCAGCACTTCCCATTTCAGCTTACCAGGTAAAGTTTTACATCACAACTTTCGGTTTTTTTGTCAGCTTTGCTACATCCCAGGTTTCTGGAGAGTATTCTATGATCAAGGCAGCAGCATCGCAAGGCATGCTGGACGAGAAAAAAGCGGTTTTGGAGTCTCTACTTTGCATCAAGCGAGCTGGGGCCGATGTCATTCTTACTTACGCCGCGTTGCAAGCGGCCAGATGGTTGTGTGGTGAGAAATAAGAAGAAGAAAATGAGACATCATTCACGGGAGATGGAGGAAGCGGCCGGATGGTTAAATAAGAAAACGAAGTTTGCTTCGCGGGATATGGAGGAGCCAAAGGTCTTCTTCTGATGGAATAAATGCGTGAGCTTTCCACGGGCAGTGTGAAGGAGGATCTAGCGTCGTTGGTGGCATCGTGCAAGGATTTGTCGCAGGCCAGGCAGCTCCACGCTCGAGTTCTTTCCAGCGAGCAGCTCTCGCAGGATAGGCATCTCTGCAATCTCTTGGTGAAAATGTATGGCAGATGCGGGAGCGCCCGTGATGCGTTTGATGTCTTTCAAAGCTTGCACTCGAGAGATGTTTTCTCTTGGAACATCATGCTGAATGCTTATACCCAGAATGGGCATCTTGAGACCGCAAAAACGTTTCTAGAGAGCTTTCCAGAAAAGAACGTAGTTTCATGGAACACCATCTTGGCTGCTTACTCAAACCATGACTGTGTTAACGAAGCTACCCAGTTTTTCAATAAGATGCCTGCATGGGACACAGCTTCATGGAATACTTTGATCACTGCATATGCCAGAGGAGGGCATATGGATGCGGCAAAACTTCTCTTTGACAAGATGCCGGAGTGGAACGAGATCACCAGCATTGCCTTGATCACTGGATTCGCCAGCTCCGGAAGCCTGCATTCCGCAAAATATGTCTTTGATTTCATTCCAGAGTTTGCTCCCGCGGCAGCAATGGCTCTGATCGCGGCATACGTGCGTACAGGCCACCTCCACGAAGCCAAGCACATCTTTGACAAGCTGGAGCAGCCGAGCATCGCAGCATCCACTAGCATGATCACTGCTTACGCGCAAGAGGGCGATCTGGAAAGAGCCAAGCAAATCTTTGACGGGATGGAACTCTTGGACGAGGTTTCATGGACTGTGATGCTCCAGGCGTACGCACAGCGAGGAAAGATGAGAGAAGCCAAGCGCTTGTTTGATTCTATCCCAGTTCCGGTGGACAAGGGCCGCGATCTCGTGGCGTGGAGCGTGATGCTGCTGGGCTACACACAAGCAAGAGATGTTCCTCGGGCGAGAGACTTGTTTGAGACAATCCCACGGAGAAATGTCGTGTCCTGGACGCTCATGCTCCAGGCTTACATCGAAGCCGGGGAGTTTTCCAACGCCATCGAGCTCTTCAATTCCATGCCCGAAAGAAACGTCGTGTCGATGACCGCCATGCTTGCTGCTCACGCCGGGCGACAAGACTTGGAATGCGCAAAGTTTATGTTTGATTCCATGCCCGAGAAGAACTTGGTCTCGTGGTCGGCGATGCTGCAAGGCTACGCTACCAGCGGTGACGTCCGAGGAGCAAAGATCTTGTTCGAAGAGATGCCGTGGAAAGACACAGTTGCCTGGACAACCATGCTCCAAGCGTACGCTCAAGCTGGTCACTTAAGAACTTCCTTGTTCGTGTTTGAGACGATGCCCGAGCGAAACGTTGTGTCGTGGACAGCAATGATCTCGGCTTTTGCTCACTCTGGCAACCAGATGGATTCGATCCAAATTTTCCACACGATGAACTTGGAAGGAGTGAAGCCCGATGATATATGCTTCGCCAGCGCTCTACTTGCTTGTAACCATGTTGGATTGCTCTACAGAGGCCATGGTTATTTTACCTCGATGAGAAGGGATCACGGGATTGCTCCAGGGAGAGAGCACTACTTTAGCATGGCCGATATTCTTTGTCGAGCAGGACGGCTCGAGAGTGCGCAGGAACTTATACGTACCATGCCTTTCGTGCCGGAAGTCTTGCACTGGGGATCGCTGCTAAACGCGTGTAAACTTCAGGAAAATACGAAGATTGGGAACAAAACTGCCAAGCATCTGTCGACTCTGGATCCCAACGACGCTGCTCCTCACGTTCTCTTGTCAAATCTCTATGCTTCTCTTGGGAACTTGGGTAGAGCTTAGATCAAACAACACTTGTTTATAGTTGTAAGACCACTTTCATGTCAAAAATCTCTTGATCATTCGGGGTGATCTCCTGACACTCTTTTGGATCCTCGAGCACTTCTCCTGACAGCCAGGGCTTGAATGAATTCATCATACAAGAATGCTGCAAAAGAATAAGCTCTCAGTCAAACACATTTAGAGCTTTGGAGATTTAAGATCACCTGTAGCCAGAAAAAGAATCCACGCAACAGTCGAAGCCTCTTCTCTGAGCTTCTAGTCACACTGAGAACTTCAGTAAAGTCTACACGAAACGAGAACGAGGAAACAGAGAAGAAGATGAGAAAAACTTTGAGCTGATCATATGTAGCGTCACCTGGAAAGTGGTCAAGATACGAGTTCCCTGCATTTTCAGTCTCGAATGGAACGCTTCCCTGGCGCGTTTGTCTCAACTTCACGACGGGCTTACGATGGCTCACATCTTTCTCCATTCTCTCAAGCTCGTCACCATCAAACGGTCTCTCGAGCTCGGCTTCCAGCTTTTGGCCGAAACTCGACGTACTAGTAAGTCTCGGTTCCAATACCTCCTCAACATCACAAGAACCATCTTCCTGCTCGAAATAAAAGCCGTGGAGAGAAAAGAAAGAACGAGGAAGAACAAAGACAGCACCTCTGGAATCAGATCTTGACCGGACTCTTTTGGCAGAGCTCGAGTTTCCGTGTAGACTTGATCATCCTGAGTGACCCATGGATGCTTTCTGGGTCTCCCGGGCTTGCGCTTGACGCTCGGATCGATGTATTTCTTTGGTCTTCCTCGTTTTCTCTTGGTCTTAAATCTATAAGAGCAGTTAAGAGCGAGCAAGAGAACGCGATGGATGAAAAGAATCGCACACCTTGGCGGAGGGACCGTGTTGACCGATCCATTTCTGTGCTGAACGGTGGGTTGAACTACGTTGACCGGGCCTGCCGCTACGAGAAAACTGTGAGAGACAACATGGAAGCACGGTAGCGATGGTGCTGCCGGCACCACATTGTAGATCATCTTGTCCAGGTGCGAGTGGAGGCTTTGGATCGAATCAAACTGGAGCAGAACTGGACCGCCGACGCTTCCCTGCATGGATCGCCACTTGATCATCGATCAAACAGTGAAGCCAAGAGTAAAAAAGCGCTCAAACCGTTGAATCAGCCATGTCTGTGTAAGAAGCTCTTAATGACAACCTCACACGCTTAGGACGCTAAACCAAAGCTCCATATCAATCCAGATCGGACACTAAACAAGCAGCATGATCACCATCTAGATCGATTGATCGATCTGAGAACTTTTAAAGACAGGAACTGTGTGTTATGTGTCCTCTACTCGATTCGATTTGCTTCAAGTCAGACACTACACACTGTTCTCGGTGGGATGCTCGTAAGTTTCGCTCCCTCGGTGCCACAAAACTACTGAATCCACTGTCGGTTATATATACATATAATCTGATTCTCTTTCCACATGACACAAACAGTCAGTCGTCAGGCAGTTCGGGCGCACAAAATTTCGATTCCACGAACGAAACCGTAGCTTCATTTAATAAACAAGTGACGGAGATCTGCGGGGGAAATTAATGCTTACGAATGAATCCCACAAGTTAACGTTCTCTTGGTGGTGTGTATAAATATATAAGCATTTGGCACAAAGCATCATGAATTCATGTTAGTTTTCTGTTTGGAGCTTGACCTCTTCTTCGATCAAAACCATGTATTTGGACCGGGTTGCAAGGTCAATGGCCTGCATTCATGCATGCACTCCAACCCAAACGCATCGCCTGCCACGTGCAAGGATCAGACAACAAACCCTAATTCTCGCCAGCCAAGTTAGACAGAATCTTAGACTTACGTAGAGCGCGCAAATGTAGCCTCCATTGCAACATTGCGCTGCTTGAATGCCGCCAAGAGACGTGACGACCATTCAAGAGAAAAGTATCCACGACTCATGTTGCACTATAACATCTACGTATTAATTTACTCTTGTCGCCGTGCTTGACTATTTTGTATATGCCGTGGGTATGCAACCAAATCTCTGGGGCGCGCAAGATCTCGCTGATGTAAACCTCACATTCCGGGAAATACAAAAAACTTCAAGGCACCACCCAAAACGGCGCTAAGTTCATTCACTCCCCCGTTGAAATGTGTCAAAAAACAAAAACAAAAACAAAACCGGAAGAAACCAAATAAACAAGAAACCGAAACGGACAAAGCCCTCTAAACATTCATCTTCACTGCTGCAGCCCTAATTCGTCGGTTGGATTGGAGACGGAAGATTTCAGCAGCCAACCACCATCTAAGGGGATTGAACCTTCGTCCGTACATTCCCTTGGACAAGTATACATTGATGCATGGATGATATCATCAATGATTGTTCACCCCACTGCAAGGTTGGCAAATTGTGGGCATGTACTCGTTTCGTGCATTTGCTGGTCCCAAAGCCATATACATTGCCACCAATCCCAAAGCAGATTCACGAATATGCGCCCCACTGCAGACACAACTTCACGTGGGCATCTGTGGCCCGGATTGCCACATTGGCCATGCAAAGGTGGTGAGGCATGCCTGTCGCGCTGTTATGTCTGGTTGGGGGGAAAGCGTTGCTGGTCCAGTTGGGATGGACAGTGAGAGTGCGCGGATGCCCCCTTATGTGCTTGTTTTCTTGTACTCGCTTTCTTCCGAAAATGTCCACGCCCAGACGAAAAAATCTGGAAAGCTTGTGACGAGATCACTGACATTTCGCTGCAGGGAAACAATTACCGCCCGCCCTCGCAAACGAGCTCGCTCCTCTTGCAGCGTTGAAATCAATCAAGCTGTCTATCAGAACTGTCGCGGGGCCGTCGATCTCGTTGTTCTCGTGCAATTTGTGGCGGAGCTTGTCGCCCAAATGGCAGCAACCTCGAGAGTTACCCACAGCCCCATGGGGAAAGGAATCCAAATCCAAATCTCCGCCACCTTTCAGAGCACCGAAATGAGAGGAATCTCATAACCCTTATGACAGTACTTTAGAGGCAAACGCGGTGTTGCAGTTCCAGTTGCCAACCTCGAGTTCGCAAACTGGGGCCTCCACGCCCACGTGACTGCCTGTTGTAGAAAAATGTTCCCAAAAGACGAGCTGACGGGGCCGGCCACATCGGATGAGTACTCCACGTCCGCGCAACATGTCGCCCAAAGCCCACCAATCCAGACGTCACATTGGCCATTCCACGCGAGAGATGCTTGACCGGAATTACCAAGCATGGGCATTTTGGCATCTTTCTCGTGTTGTTTTGCGATTTCAAGGAGCGAGATGGCGAGATTATTAATATGCGGATTGCCGTAGAGGGGGGAATATTGAGGGCTCAAGTGCAATACTTTAGAATAATTTACCCATTGCAAGAGGGTGGCGAAACAGGAGTCACTGGGGAGACCGCCCCATTCAATCTATGCACAATATATTTGGAATATTATCGGTGTTCCTGCTAGATTGTTTGCGAAACATATGTGTCTGTGTCTAATCTCTCGAATGGGAAATCCAGTTGCAGGCTGTTTTTGTGAGTCCTCAAAAGGTGGATGGAGGAATCGTTGAACCTTGACTGGCATCTCATATTAAACAAACAAATCCCAATCCTGAATGGAAAAGGTGGCGACGATGATCCGCTCGTCTCTGGTCGTCTCTTGTTTTTGCTCCCATCAAATCAATCATGCCCACAAACACAGTTCGAACGTTACAATCCGCATACTACCTACTATCTCGTTCGAGAAAATGGGAATCAAACATTGACTTGTAAAATAATTGAAGAGGAAGGCCGTACAATGTCCGTACCCTGGGAGGAATATCCGGCCGAGTTTAAAATTATAAAAATGGTGGAAAGGCACGAAAGTGAAAGAAATGAACCCCCCTCGGCTGCACGTGTGAAATTGGCTGCGCCGCTGCAATTGCAAACCCTGCGAAGCCACAAACTGTGTCCGACTGCAGCCTTTTGATGGAAAATGGATCATCGATTACGTCCGATCACGACTCACTGACTGAATCTTTTGGTCGCTGCCACCACAATTGATGAGCGAGAGAGAGAGGGATCGACCCACCTCTCGCTTTCGCACACAACTGGAAACTGGAATCACCAGAGCGCATTCCATATGAGACCAATTCATGGCAACTGATTGATCTGTGCCTACATGATCATGGATCCCGCGGCAGAGTGTATCGTCCTCTCGCAGCCTTCGTAGGATGTATAAGTTACTATCTACATGAAACAACAGGGAAAAGCAAAACTCACATTAAAAACGAAGGAAACCCATGTAGTACTGTGCCCGCACGGCCCGGCCACACAGCAGAGATTTTGGAAGAAAGGAATCTGGAATCAACCAGCAGGAGCTATGATCATCGATCCTCTCTCCCTCTCTCTCTCTTGCTAGCTTCAGTGACATGATCTCTCCAATTCATTGATATCTCACTTATTAGATACTCTGCCGATAGCTGTATATAGGATGGATGGATGGGTGCCTTGCTTGCCAGATCTTTGAGTGGTCTTGTTCTAGGCAGCAGCAGCAGCAGCAGCAGAAGCAGCAGCAGAGGAGAGCTTTTTCCTTCCGTGCTGTTGGAAGGAATTGGGCAGCCCAAATTTTGTCGGAGGATAAGATCTTTCTTTGTTTTTGCGTTAAATGCAGACTTTTCTTTAACAAAGTAGAAAACTAAGTTTTTGATCCAATCCATGATCCATCAGCCAGCCGCAAAAAAGGAGCCTCGTTTGTGCTGTTTGTTTCGTGCACGCAAATTTCTCTGCTTTCCGGTAACAAAAGCTTAAACAACTCCAGGAAAGCTTCTTTCTATTTCTTCCCCCCCTGGTGAAATTCGGCTGCTGGACTGACTGAATCCTCCGTAAGTTGGTGGCATCTAATTTAGCATTACAAAAAAACCACTGGAGGCCAAGTAAGTGCGCGGACTTGGGCATATAAAAGGCCAACACGGTGTGAGTGTGCTGCATTCCCCGCCAGCAGCAGCAAAGTGGCAAATCCCCATCAAGTGCTTCTGTTGGTTGGATAGATCGATCCACCCAAAGCCTCACATTCAAAAGGTCTCCAGTTTTCAGTTTCAGTTTCAGTTTTCAGCTCCGCCCCCGGCTTCGGCTTTTGAGTTCAGTTTCTGAGTTCAGCTGCAGCTGCACTTGAACGTCCTTTTTTCTCTCCCCAGTTCTTCCCTTTCTTGAGAAGGAAAAAAAGGAGAGAAAATTTAGCTGATTTGTAATTCTCACATACAAGAGAGAGAGAGAGAGTTCTTTTCTTGCTGATCGCGATCGCCATGGAAGCTCGAGTGCGAGGACATGGCTTGATGATCCGGTCAAAGGATCACGAACCATGGCCGACCACGAGGAGACCCAGGAGCGAGGCAATGTTGATCCTCTCGTGGGGACAAATCCTCGCGCTCCTCCTCCTCTTTGTGCGCACGGCCATCGTCGGCCTCGCCAATTCCAGCTGCTCCGGATCGCCGCTCTCCGCCCAGGACTGTGCCGCCCTCTCCTCGCTCTCGCTCCACGGCCACATCACCTTCGCCACCGCCACCTCGCCCGCCTCCTCCTCCGACTTTGGGCGCATCCATCGCCGCCTCCCCCACGCCATCCTCTACCCCTCCTCCGTCCGCGACATCGCATCGCTTGTCCGTGCTGTCCACGACACGAGCTCGCCTCTGCGCATCGCGGCCAGAGGAGCCGGGCACTCCGTGGCTGGACAGGCCCAGGCCGGCGATGGCGTCGTGATCGAGATGGGGAGCTTGCGCGGGATCAAGGTGTCCGAAGGAAAGCCCGGGGAGCAGCCGTATGTGGAGGCCATGGGAGGAGAGCTCTGGATCGACGTTGTGAGGGAGAGCTTGAAGTATGGATTGGCGCCGCGATCGCTCACGGACTATCTCTTTCTCAGCGTTGGGGGGACGCTCTCCAACGCGGGGGTGAGCGGCCAGGCCTTTCGATACGGCCCCCAGATCAGCAATGTCCTGGAATTGGAAGTAGTGACAGGTACTCGCATTTTGCAAACTTTTTCTCTCCCTCCATCGCTCCTCTGTTTGGATAATCGGTTTCTTGAGCTCAATTTCGCGATTCCTGGACGTGGGTCGATGTCAATTTTGCCATGGATTCTCGGATTCTCTCTGCGAATCTAGGCCAGAAGTATAGCAATGATTGATTGATTGATTTGATTGCCAAGAAGTGAGGAGATCCTTTTCTCTTTTTCCTCTCTCTCTCTCTCCCTCTCTTCTCTCTCCTCTCCCTACTGGATTGTCGATGCTTGGCTTGCTTGCTTGCTTGCTCTCTGTCTCTCTCTCTTGCGCGCTGCTCCAAATTCCAATCATTTGATTCATCCCTCTTGATTTGAATCCCCTGTTTCGTGCCAAGCAAAACAGAGCACTTGCATCACATATCGTTTGATTGTTTCTTTCCTTCCTTTGTTTAATCGCTTCTTGCGAAGCTTCCTGTTCGCTTGTCTGAATGGAGTGGAGTGGATCACTTTGATTCTGTCTGTTAGGTGGTGTGTTCTAATCTATCCCAAGAAATCTCTTAACGGTTTTGCGCGTTCCAGGGAATGGTGAAATCGTGCGCTGCTCGCCCGTGGATCACGCGGACCTCTTCTTTGCGGTTCTGGGGGGCCTCGGCCAATTTGGGATCATCACCAAAGCCAAGATCAATCTCGAGCGAGCTCCTCAAAAGGTGAGCACACGAAAAAGGGAAAAGAGGAGAAGCAAGATAACTCCTCCCTCCATTGCCACGATGTTCACGCTTTAGCTTTTGTTCCTTCTTCTCTCTCAGCGTCTTACACCTTACGAGCTTGGATTGGCGAGCCCCTTTTTTCTCCTCTGTTGCTCATTTTCTGGTGTTTTCTTTGGATGAATTCGTCTCGTCGTGTCGGCCACGCGTGATAATTTTTTGCTTGTCCAAATGATTGAGAGTGTGTACAGTGTTTTTGATATATAGTTTTTTTCTCGCTCTATCTCTCGCCACCATTTGTCTTGTTGTGCTCTGTTGTGCGCTGCCGTTCTTCGAATGATTTCTCTTCATTGATCACCAATTTTTAGTTTTTCTCTTTCCATAAAACACTGACTGACTGAACTGACCCCATGAATCTCTCTGATCACCCAAAATCTGGATAACTTGAGAAAAAAAAAGGAGAGAAACTGACACTCTTAATTGTGTTTGTTTCCAGGTAAAATGGATCAGAGCACTCTACTCGGATTTCAAGGCTTTCACTCGAGATCAGGAGCTGCTAATCGCCCGCCCAAAACACAGCCCCAACTCCTTCGATTACGTCGAGGGCTCCGTGATCGTAAACAACAATCACCCCAGCAACGAATACAAGCCCATTCCATTCCACGGACAAACCCTCAACGCGAGCCTCATACCTCCTTCCGCCGGCCCCGTTCTCTACTGCTTAGAACTCACCAAGAACTACGACGAGGACGAGTCCGCCACCATTGACGAGGTTCGTGCATGCATGCATGCATGCATGCCGACTAACCATGCTTAAGATCTGCTAAACTAACGACTTTTTTCCTCTTTGGGTAGACCGTCTCGTCGCTCCTGGCGCCGCTGGGGCATGTTCCCTCGCTCGTCTTCAGCAAAGATGCGTCGTACTTTGAGTTCCTAAACCGCGTCCACGATGGTGAGATCCGGCTGCGCAAAAAGGGGCTGTGGGATGTCCCGCACCCGTGGATGAATCTCTTGGTTCCAAAGAGCAAGATCGAGGAGTTTGATGCGTTGGTTTTCAGAGAGATTCTCCGCAAAGGCATCAATGGGCCACTCCTCGTGTACCCTCTAGACAAGATGAAGTAAGTGTGAGAGAGCAGGAGCTTTTGACTTGATCTGGCACTAAAATATTCAACTTTTTCCTGTTGTGTAGGTGGGATTCCAGGACCTCGGTCGTGATGCCCGACGAGAACATCTTCTACCTGGTTGGGATGCTGCGCTACGCCACGCCCTCGGGAGTTCCATCAGTCAGCTCTCTCGTGGATCAAAACAAGGAGATTCTCCGGGTGTGCAAGAGCGCTGGGATCCATCTCAAGCAGTACATTCCCCAGCTTTCGAGCGAGGAGGAGTGGCGAGAGCACTACGGCAGCTCCTGGAGCTTGTTCTTGCGGAGGAAATTGGCCTACGACCCAAAAGCAATCCTCGCCCCGGGGCAAAACATTTTCGCCCCATCCTCCTCCTCTCTCAAGCTCTCGAGCGCCCTGTAGGAGAAAGATCCCTGGGCAAGGCGAGAGTGTGTGTGTACAGTCTTGAGCGTTGGCGCGGTGGCTGTAAAGCCCGCGAGTTTGTATGCCGCCCCCTTCCCTCCAAATTTCAAAATTTTAAAAGTTTTTAAAACAAATGCCTCGAATATCCTCACGCCCTAGGCGCTGCTTCTAGGGTTCTTCGCGGCTATGGCGGCAGCGGCAGCGGCGAGCGCCATCTTGGCCGGCATTGCAGCAACTGGACACTGTGCGTGAGATCTTTGGCGGTCTGATGGGTGGATCTTTGATGTGACTGATGGATTCGGATTTGCGCTTGCCCGGATTTGTGCAGTGGACAAGGAAAGCCTGGCCATGTAAATTTCTGTGAGATTCTTTCCCAGGCTCGGTCGGAAGCATGATGGCCGGCATCTTTACAGGTTGCAGTTCCTGTACCAGAGGAATTTGGCGAGGGCTCTGCGCATACTGGACATGGAAGGCGTGAAGCGCATTACTGGCCAAAATTCCAAGCGCTCCATCTTTGTGGTAAGTACCACGATTTCCTCTTTTCCTTTGCTTTTCTACTTCCATCTCCCGTTCATCCTCTCTTTGCTTGTCCTGGCTGCTGCTTTGTTCTCGTAGACTCTTCTTTGAATCTCAAAGATCAGCTTTTTTAAAAGGACTTTTAAAGCGGATGTGGTTGTGGTTTGGTTCTCCAGGTTCGTGGAGAGACCGACAAGAGTGATCAACACTTGTGCCTGCTCAAGCCCCACTTCTGCTCGTGTCCATCTTTCTTCTTCGATGTTGTGGTCCGCCACCAGCATCTCTGCGTACGTAAAGATGCTCCTTTTTAATAATCTCTGGTCATAGATTGGCTGCTGAGAGTGCGTTGAATTCATTCCTCGCAGTGCAAGCACCAGCTGGCCGCAAGTCTCGCAGAGGCACTGAGAATTTGCAAGGACCAAACGGTTAGTGACCAAGAGCTGGCCATCCTGCTTTTGGAGAAAAGAAGCAAGAGGAATCGTCGTCAAGTGCACTACGCTCTGCAAGAGAAATGATCCTCATGGATGGATTCCTTGCTTCTTTTGCTGCAAAGCTTTTTCTCCAGGCCAGGTGAGGAGAAAGAGAAAGAAAAGAGAGAAGAAGAAGAAGAAAAAAATAAAAACAGCTAGCAACATTCTCACGATGCTGCTGCTGCTGCAAATTGTGCAGATAAAGAGCCCAGCTTGTCCAGCGACAGGCTCCGTGCCGTTTGAAAAAAATGTGCGACACTCTCTTCCGGGGTGCCAACCAAGACGCCGTGTCCCAGATTGAGGATGTGACCCTTGTTTCCAGCCTTTCTCACGACGCTGCAAAAACAATACGCAAGGTGTTAGTCACTGCAAGACACAAGGAGAACTTACTCGACCACGGCTTCGGTGATCGACCATTCCGGACCGAAAAGAACGCAGGGATCCACATTTCCCTGGACAGCCACGGAATCTCCCAGCCTCTTTCGACCATCCAGCATGTCTACTGTCCAATCCAGGCCGATGACATGAGCTCCGGTGTCACTCATTCTTTCCAGGAGGCCCCCGTTTCCATTCGCATAGAGGACGATCGGAACTCCAGGACACTTGTCCTTGACAGTCCTGATCATCTGCGAAAAAGAAAGAGAGAAAAAAAGAAGTCTTTTGGGAAGAACTAGAAAAGAACGATTAAAAAGAAAGGTTACCTTGCAAATATACGGTTTTGACCAGCGATCCCATTGAACTGGCGTAAGTTGGCCACCCCAGGAATCAAATATTTGGACGCACTGAGCACCGGATTGTATCTGAAACACGAGGTAGTCCCCGATCGCATTTGCAAGGTGGTCGAGTATCGACTCGAGCAGCTCCGGATTCTCGTAACACATGCCTTTGATCTTCTTGTAAGTTCGAGTGGAGCGGCCCTCGATGAGATAAGTTGCCAGCGTCCACGGCGCACCGACGAATCCAAGAACAGCAGCTCCATTCCCTACCTGCGCAGCTGCAAAGATCTCAGCCTAAAACTGCTATAAAAAAAGAAAGAAAAAAGAAAGAAAGCTTGTACCTCTCTTCGAAGAGTTCTCAACGAGTCGCCGACGAACTCGAGGCGTGAGAGATCGATGGAATGCAGCTGCGATGCTCGCTCCACCGACACGACTGGGTCGCTGATGATCGGGCCTTTGGCGTCATCGATCTCAAACTCCACTCCAATCGCGGGGAGTGGAGTGAGGATGTCGGAGAAGATGATGACGCCGTCGGGCATGAATGCTTTCCAGGGCTGCAGCGAAATCTCGACGATAAGATCCGTCTCCTCGGATCTCTTGCGGAAGGAGGGATGCTTGTCTGCCAATTTGCGATACGCTGCCATGTATCGCCCGGCCTGACGCATCATCCACGCCGGCGGCCTCGCCACGGATTGGCCCCTGGCTGCCTGAACGAGCAGCGGCTCTGGATCTGAGGTAAGCCACAGATTCATCCCAGATTTGCTTGCGATATCCAAGATTTTACCTGGCTGCGATGATGATTCACACCTGGCAACCACCGGCATTCTTCCCGCTGGACGCTGCCCCGCCTCTCCCCAGCATCGCGCAGTCGGCCGCGCCATGGCACAGCAGCATATCGCTCCTCCCGCCATGCCTCAACCATAAACCCTAACCTAATATAAACAAAAAAGTGTATTTTTTAATTAAAAAAGTATGGATAAAATATATATTATTAAGATAACTATTATAATTTATCATAATAATATATGTTTATCAATAGTTTAATATTCATTACTTTTTATGATTAATTTAATCAAAGTGGGGTAAAATGTAATGTCATTTTCAAAGTAGTTTTTATATTGCTGAAATTTAAATACATTAAAACTTAGCATAAGGCTATATACACTATTTCATATAAAATATATGTTTTTAATATACTATTTAAGTGATAAAATAATAATTTATAACATCTAAATTCTAATATTGTAAGGTTTATAAATACATGTATTACCCTAGCTAAGTAATACACTAATTATAATACAATAGTATATGAACCATTTATTTAGATCCATCCATTCGTAGGGGTCTAATCCCCAATTAATATAATTGTTCTTATATCCCGAGCAATCATATTGATGGAGGTGAGAAGCATTATAATTTGTCCCTAAAAGGCAAAGCTTTTTCATAGTGCTTTGCTTTAGTGTTTGGGATAATGTTTTTTGTTTTTATTTTTTCATTCTCTTTTAAATTTAGATTTATATTAGCTTTTTGCAAGATCTAGAACTTTAGCTATTGTTGTTCTTAGATTTACTTTTTCTTCTGATCTTCATTGCATTCTCTTCTTCTATTATACAACACTGTCATTGATTAAGGAGTATATCACTTGAAGCTACTAATGCTGTTCTATTGGATCGAACTTTTAGTGCCTATGCCCATCTTTAGTGTGTTGCCATTTTCAACTTTCATGAGATATGATTACACAATTTATTTTCTTCTCAGTGTTCTGCCATCTTCTGTTGATGTGGAGCGTGATCATGACATCAATTGGCAAGGTATAGATGATATAATTTAGTTTTTGGAGAATGTTCAAGGTTTGAGTTTATGGGAAGATGATATGTATAAGCTCGAGTGGATTCTAGATTGTGATGACGAGCTTGATTATTATGGAAATAACTTTGAAGATGAAATGGAGATTTCATAAGGTAAGTGTAAATCCTTCAATCTGCCATTTAATTTTTTTTCTCTACTTTTTGCTTTTTCCCAACTTTTTTTTATTTCTCGATCTGAGCCACCTTCTTATGTTCCTAGTATTTCTTCCTCATTTACAGTGTTTTCTTCTCCTGACATGTCAATCATTTATGACTATGATAATTTTCATTCTCAATCCAATATTAAGTTGAGTGTTTTTTGTCTTCCTCATACTAATTTGGATGTTAAATGTATGCATAAAGTTGAGAATCTTGTTTTTGTTTCATTGGCAAAGTCTTTGATTAGTTTTGATGTTAAATATTCCCTTGTTCCAAGGGTTGAGTCACTTTTGCCAGAGTTTCAAGTTGAATGTATGTCGTTATTTATAAGTACTGCCAAAAACTTTTGCTTTATCATTGTTGCTGAAAAGTTCATATATTCCCTTGAGAGTGTGGATGTTATTGATTTTCACCTCTCTAATGTTAGGTTGTGTGTTAAGGGAGTTAAGCAGTATGAATTTTTTACTTATATTATGGTGGCCGGAGTATTTTATAATATGAAGTCCTATTTTCCAAACTTTGAGCATATATCCTTCTTTTGATTTTCTCATTTTTACATTGTTAACTATTATAAATTCCTTTTCTAATGCTTCTTTATCCACATTTTCTTCGTTTATAATTGTTTTTCTTCAATTTTTCTCCTTTTTGCCTCGACACTTTAAACTTTTTTTCCTTCGAAGGAGGGGGTAGAGGGGATGGACGGGAGTCCAGCTTTGACGATAGAGTGAGGATGAGCAAATGCAGTAATGGAGCAAGGACAAATAATATGGATTGTAGAGTGAGGATGATTATAACAAGTCTAAACCGAACATCCAACTTTGATGTAGTGAGGCTGAAAGGATGTGATAGTGAAATGAAGCTAAACATAAATGGTAAAGTGAGGATAAGTGTAATAATGAATTTAAATAGAACCAATATTTCAAAACTTTTTTTCTTTCAAAGAGGGGATAATAAGGATTGAAGGACAAATGGAGTGAGTTTAATTTCCTATATGCAGTGCTAGATGAGGACAATAGTTGTGAATCTAAATAAACATGGGTTTTAAATGTTAACCGAATGGAAGGCACAATAATAAGTTCTACTTATGATCCTAAGTCCGAGTTAATTGTGGTTTTAGAGGACTATTGCCAAACAAATTTAAAGACAGGATATATTGTTTGTTGCAATGGTGCTTTATGGATTATAGTGGCTCTCAAAATCCCTTATTTGTGTTCAAAATTATAGTTGTATACTTGATTTAAGAATTTAAGAGCTACAAATGGAGTTACAATTAGTTCACTAGGATTCTATAGTAAGTTGATGCTTATGCCATGGCTTTAGGTTTTATTTCAATCATGGTTATCAACAATTTTGTTGGTAGTTTTGTGGGACTTTTAAATTTTTATAGTAATTTATGATTACCCAATAGAAGCTCCAAATATTCCATTTGACTTGTTATCATCACCTTTTCATTTTTTGGAGGGGAGGATGGTGTAATGTTTCTAAATATATATATTTATATACATGTATTACCCTAGCTAAGCAATATATTAATTATAGTACTATAATATATGAACTATTCATTTGGGATTGAATCTAGTTCATCCATTGTTGTATATAAGTAAGGGTCTAAACCCCAATTAATATACTTACTCTTATATCCCACATCATGATATTTTTTTGAAAATATTAATATAATTTTTCTTAGTATATATAATGTTTGATTAATATACTATTATCTTGGGTATAAAGTAATTATTATTTATATTTTAGTTAATTTTTCCTATATAACTATGTATTTAATGTTAAAATAGTACTTTATAGAAATTAATAAGAAACTTATTTTACTTTCTTACATACTTTAAATTTATAACTAAAATAATGCAAATGTATTTTTTAAAACAGATATGTTTTCTTAATTTTTATTTCTTTTATTGTTGACTTTAAATTTATTTCAACATGAAATATATATTATTTTTAAAAAGTAAAAAATAATTTAGGAAAACATAAAAATATAATTAAATTTTACATTCTTTCAATAGTGTTTATTATTTACAATTTCACTTTATATTAAATCCCAATCAAAATTTCTAAATTTGAAAGAAAAATGACTAAAGAAGATAAAAAAGCTATATCTTCAAAGTTACCGAAGTTACACATTGAAATACAAAGGTTAGCCATTAACTATAAAATATTGAGAAATATATTATGCATAACTTAGATAGCCATTTTCACACAAAGAAATTTATAAAAATTACAAATTTTATTTTCTAAAAATTTATTATATTTATTTAAATTTAAAAATTAATTATTATGGTTTTAAAGAAATTTAACATAAAATATATATAAGGTTGAAGTGTAAGGCTATAGTGCACTAATATTAGCATAATGGGATTTTGATAGCTATTATATTAATTTTGATCTAGACCACTCATTTTTATATATAAACTAAGGTTTTTGGGCTAATTGATATACACATTTCTATATTTCATTAGTAGAAATGAAGAGCAACTTTAATTGTCCGGGATTATTTGGATTTGGGATTTTGGTTTGAATCTAGCTCTTGCATTATCTAGATTTTAATTTTGTTGATCTTTATGGCAAAGCAATAATTTCATCTTCCTTTGACTCTAGAGTAATTGTTAGTGCAATTGTTTGATGTTATGTGATTTTAGTTGAATAATCAGACCTAATTGGTAGTAGCATTTACAATATATAGTACAACTCCTTCTGCTCTTATTATCAATTCTCACATCTTTCCAAAATTCTTTCATAGGAATCCTAGAGATGACATATACCATTAGTTCAATCACTTATGGTAATTGCTATTATCATTCTTAACATGATGCTTGGCGTTTATATGACTGTCCACGTGTCTTCAAGTGATAGTGTTGCAGTAATACAATGGCTTGAGTGTAGCCACTCATGTGGATTGGAGCATTCTTTTAAATGTCTTCAAATGTGTATTTGCACATATTGATAATTGTGATAATGCCTTCCAAAAATTATA